GCACAATTAGATCCGTGATAAAATTAAATGTAAATGCCTCCAAACTTGTGTTATCCTTAAGAGATAGACATTTGCCATCGCGGACTTTTCTGTATACCTATATAAGATACACAATTCCACCATACATTATTTTGTTATATCTCAAAGGATTAAAGCAGGGGCAGGGTTAAGGCAGCGTTTTCGTTAAAAGCTCGCAGACGTCTTAATTTTTCCGACACCTCCAACAAATATCGGTTATATTTTAGCCAATGTATACAAAAACTTAACAAATTATATACTAAAACCTTCCTCTTGAATCACTCTATCTATTAAATAAAACCGCATCAAAATCGTGTTTTAAAGATTTAAGCATACATAGGGATATAGGGACAGAGAAAGCGACTTTGTTTTATACTATGTAGTGATGCGACTTTAAAAGCAAAATGTAAGTTGGGAAAATAATATGAAGATAAATGCAACAAAGTCAACAGTTTGGTTTAATAACACACGGTATGTAGGTGTAGTTAGGACAAAATAACAGCCTCCACGTGTGAGTTTTGGGTGAATTCGCTAAGAGGTAGAATTAAGTGAAACCTCTATATAATTACGTAATTTAAAGTTTATCAATTAGCAGCTAAGGTTTTCATAAGCTGTTAAATAATAAATATTCGAAACCTGATAAGTTAATCACACAGTCGTAAAGCTTATCTGCCCGTAGCAGATTATTTTGGTAAACTTTCGAACACGTAGCACGTTTAAGTATCCTACCTATGTAAAGGCTTTTATTTTATACGTATTAAGTGACTACATTTAATGACTTTTTCCTATTTATAAATATATATTTTTTAATATTTTAACGTTAGAATAAGTTGTTTTGATTATCGAAATTTTGTTATCTTAAAGCTTATGTGAAATTAATAGATCAGCATTACTGATGAGCACACCGCAATTGCTTTGATCTATTTTATTTAATTTTATATCTACATCGAAAAATATATAATTAAAACAATAGTTACATACTTTAATAAAGCAAAATGTTGTATAGTTGTTTCACGGTTAAATGACTGGACGGATTTAGATGAAATACTCAGATAGACCTGGAATATATATAACGAAATACATAGGCTACTATTAATATTAAAAAGATACCTAGGGACGCTAGAAGTCGCTAGTTTTTTAGTATACCTAGGTATATTTATATAACTTTATCATTGGTATAGTGATAAATAAAAGCTTAACAAATGCTTTCAGAATGCATCTTATAAATAAAGCTTTAAGTAGGGTAAGACACGTTAATCTCAATACATATATTTATAACAGAAAGTGCGCTTCGAATTTTTTCATTACACTTGCCCCTTATAAGGCATCGGCTAAAGGTTCTTGAAGATCTTTCGCAAGGCGCTCCGCTCCTTCCATCGACACTTTCTCCGACCATTTTGAATTATGCGAAATGTGCGACAATACTTGTAGTAATTTAACTCTTGAACTTTCCATGCTCATTACAACAGCTTTACAAACACCCGTACAGCACTTATCGGTAACATTACCTTAAATCTTTTGAAGAAAACTGACATATTCGACTAACTTCCGATTAAAAAAAACGAATTTCAATTTTTCTGTACAAATCGGCAATTTCATACCTTAACCTCTATTATTGTAATTATTACAATTTTAAAAATATATATTAGTAATCTATATTTAGTGTTGCCAATATTATATTTATAACCATAAAGAAAAAATATAAAATATAATATTAATTATTTAAGCCACATAATTGTTCTATGTGTAATTTAAAAAGTAAAAATTAATTAAGAATAATAATTTTAATTCAGAATAATAATAATTTTATTTTGTGATAACTAATAAAAATTATAAAAATGTTTAAAGTTATAAAATATTGGTACTTGGTGCAATTTTTAATTTTGTTATTTGTGGGTAGGCTGTCTTTAAAAACTATACCTTCGGGACATCTAACACCTCAGTATCTCCCGTGACCATGATTGCTGTAAAGCACTCGAAACGTCGGGAACCAAAAATCCAAATAAATCCGCGAAAAAATCCTAAAAGTTAGTTTTATTTAAAATGTCAAATATTCGCGTAAATCTAAGAAAGTATTACAAAATAACACTCGTATTATTTGACTAAAAGACATACTATTAGTTTTTTTTTCATAAAATAACATTAAACATTTTGCACAATAACTCATATTTATTAAGATTATCATGTTATATATTTTGAAGGAAAATTTAAATGAAAAATAGCAATTTATAAATCGTTGTACTCCATTTCAATTAATAATTAATCCTCTGCCGCTATCTGTCCAGTATTCAATTCAGTTTCAGGTCGTTTCAATTTCGCTTGTGAGTTGTGTTTTTATTTGTGTTACAAATTAAACGATGCCAATCAACGTACACTCCTATGACGCTCGCTGCATAACTAATATTTTGCAGTGATTTACCTCATATAATATGGTTTCAAATTTGATCACGGAAAATAACTAGCACCCATTTACTAGGAACTTATAATATGATCTATATGTTTGTTCTAAGAATGCGGGTTAAAATTATGACTCAGGTAGTCAAGCATTTAGATTATAATCTCTATATTATAATCTAATTTAGATTATAATCTTTTTGTATAAAATATAATATGTATATCAAATTAATTATTAGCTCCAGTTTCCAACGGAATTGGCAATATGTTAATTATTTGCCTGATAGATTCTCATTTAACATCCATTGTCAAAGATTATACCAATTTGTCAAGCTTTGAACTATTTATTAGGTAGTAGCTCGCTAAAGCCGTAAAGCAGTCAATAAGGTTAAGCTTTCAATGCATTGGTTTAGGACTTATAATGCTCGACCTCGTCGACCTAGTATTGCCTAACCGACCTGTCGTATTAATGAGGGTGGTACCTACGTATGTATGTATATACACTATTTAAGATATGTATGGTTGTACGTACAAGATATAGTCGTTAGTTAAAAATGTAATATTGATTTGCGCATCACTTCATAAGGCGTTCCTAACTGGTTACCGAGCGACATAAGTGACTTTGTAATATGATTGGAAAAAGTTTAATTGTTTACGTTTGTTACTTTCATGAAATTTTCTTACCTACACAAAAATGAAATATACCTTTAAATATCATCATAGTTCCTCTAACAATTTCATACTTAAAGCTGTTCCCTATCAATACGCACTACATACTAGTATTACTGGTTCAGGAAAACATAAATTCGCTTGTCAACATAGTCAATAATAAAAGTCATCTATACAAGGAATAAACAATGCTACTGTTATACGGTTATAGTAATTTGTTTTATTTCGTTCCGCCTCTTCTTAAAATGGCAACGTTTATCACGCGTAGAACAGTCAACAGGGTACACTTTTAATGCCATGGCTTTATTGAAAATACGTCATTTGTCTAGTTCATTGTTCGGGCGCGCTGGCACACGCTGATGTAGTCGGCCTAGCAACATTCAATTCCATTCACCTCTCACCGAGCGTGAACGGTTATGCTGAACACAATCACACTTGGTCTTATGTTTATTTTTATATTTTTTAACAATTATTTGCATTTTGATTTTTATCTGTTGCCGGCTACCGTAGCTTAAATCTCTGATTGTAGGCTTCCCACATTACAACTAAAAATAAATATACGATTGGAAAACGATGTGTTTCAAGATCCACGCTGTCTAATTTTAATGTAATTTTATTAGTAAATATAGTAAAGTTTAATTCCATATAGAATTTAAGCACATAATGTAGTGCCATGCCGACAACAGCGTCACATGTGACTTATCACGTGATATGAGCTCGTATTTTGCATATGACATGAGCCTTATGAAGTTACTGCTCTTCATCTAATTTTTCATTACAAATGTATGGTAAAATTAATTATGCTTATGAGACATTTTAAAAAATATTGACATCGAAGAGAAATTAAATGTAATAAATATAGCTACATTGGCTCGAGAGAGAAAATTATCGAAGATAAATATTGATTTTTCGAAAGTCTTAATTTATGAAAATAATGGCACAGTTTAGTTGATGAAAAGGTTACGATGGTCGGAGGTGACACGACGGGAGGGGACACATTCACTACCTTTCACTTCCCGCTTTTGTTATACCACCGCTATAGGCGACGGAAAGGCAGACGGCCTTGTAGCTGGCGAGCCTTCTCGTCGTCCCTTCCCATCAAACATCTTACAATAAAGGCCCTATCAAATAATAATTATTAATTGTCCTTTTCATTTGAATTGACTTGGCATCCTTATCTTGACTAAATGGTCGAGTCACCTACAAGCTTTAACTTTGGAACTCAATTACATGACATCATGGCCGAGGAAAAAACAAATAGATACCATTATATTAAAAGTTGGATAGATGCGGTCATATAGACAACATTTGCGTGTGTTAGAACGAGGCTCCAGGGCCGTGTTAACCTTGGCTTTTGAGCGGCGACTTTCACGGTTATACGGTCGTTGCGTTACATAAGATGCGCGTTCTATGCCACCACGCCGCCGCCGACGCCCGTTGGCATCTGCTGCTGTGATGAAATCGCAACCATTCTAAACACTTTGTAACCAGTTTCACGACCAAAGAAATGAAGTAACTAACGTAATGCACAACAATTACGTTATATTGCGCAATTACTGATTTGTGACTCAAACGATGGTGTTATAGATAAAATAATGTTGTTGATTGGTCACAAGCAGTAACGGGTGCTGAAGTTGTTTTATATTGAGATTTTTAAAAACGTTAAAGAATGTACATATTATTTATAAACAACTAGTGATTTACCCTAGCTTCGCTTGGATGCTTCTCTGGGTGCCTAACAAACGCATATGTGTTCAAGTTATAGTCTATCTATCTGTGTAGTGTTCTAGATTTCATCCAAAGCCGTTCAGCTATTTCAATGCGAAGGAGTACAAAATTTGTACTTAGACAAGTATACAAACAAACTTCTAATCTGTATGAATAATGAATGTAATGTGTATGTTGTGTTTGTATTGCAGGTACAAGAGCGGGGTGCGCTCAGTGAGGGGCGGGGGCGGGGGCGGGGGTGGCGGCGCGGACGAGGCTCGTCGCAGCGGCCTCAAGGCGCTGCCGAAGCGCGCCCGCACTCGCTGCAGGGGCATGAACATGGGGCAAAAGCTCTCCGGCGGTGTCAAGTCGGTGTCGCGCGAGTGCACGGCGCCCTTCAAGGCGGTGGTGGCGCGCGAGCTGGCCCCCGAGCCGCCGCGGCCGGCGCGCCTCGACGCGTTGCTCGACGCGCCGCCCGCGCACCCAGATACGCAGCTCAAGCACGCGTGGAATCCAGATGACAGGTTTGTTGATAATTGATAATATAAATAAACATACTTATTGTTCATTTACGTTATTATAATATTATGTGTGGTACCGGCAATGTCACTTTGTTATTTAAAAATTGTTGTGTGCTTCCCATGGCGTACTTAATGTCATCCAAATCCGTCCAGCCGTTTTGGAATAAAGGCGTTACAAACTTTTGCATATATAATAGTAGTCACTTGAATATTTTAGAAATACATACTTTAATCTAAATTATGTGCACATATTTTATTTTTTATGATATTATACGCAAAGTAATAAGTAGTATTAAATGACAACTAAGATTATAATATTAACACGGCGCTAAAAACATATCAGGAATAACATAATTGAATCAAGGAAGTATCTGAATTACCATAGTAAAATCTTTTATTAGACTTAATTGATTTAATCGTCAGTTTAATCGGTCGATGTCAAAATATACAAATATAAACGATATATGTATATTGTATATATGACCTTATTAATTTAGATACACGAGGTTTTCGAATAGGATTGCTGCCGATTATTGACAAAAACTAGTTGTAAAAGCAATCCTATGGCTTGTTAACCTTCGCAGAGATGTCCTTGTTGTTTGCCATTTTCGGAGTAAATTGAATCAAGTCGTTCGTATTTGACGCAACAAGGTTATTACATTAATAAAACTACAGGTCAATAGGTCTTGTAATTAAAATCTTTAAAACTACCCTGACGTCACATTATGTCATTTTTAAGTACGAGTGTGTACATTATTATGGACACGAAGGCCACCCTATAGCAAAAAAATAATTGTGTAACAATTAGCAACTTAAAATATTTTATACTAGCTACTCACCCTCGCTTCTAGGTTTTCTCCCCATACAAACTTTCACACCCTTAAGGGCTGATTTCCGGAATAAAAAGTATCCTATATCCTTCCCAGGGTCTCAAACTATCTTCTTACCAAATTTCATCTAAACCGGTTCAGTACATCCAGAGATTACCCCCGACAACGTCACAAGCTCACAAACTTTACCTCTTTATAATATTAGTATAGATAACTACTGTACTGTACTTATAATGTACATACTAGCATAATATTATTTAGCTATAGTTTTTTTCTTAATTTAAATATTAAAAAAAACTGAATTTATCATAAATTACCTATAACAAGATTTTTATTTCATGGAATATATTTAAAATACATATATTAGAATATATTATATTTGCACTAACATAATAATTAATTAATAATTACATTCTACTAGTTTTTGTGACATTATTAACTAAAGATTGGGAACACTAATAAATCTTTATCTGCTCTAATGTCCTTTTTTTATTTGCTACATATAACATTGCCATATTTCATAGAATCTATATTCGTATATAGTAGATGAAACTATACCATAGTAGAAGAGAGATTGTGCCCATGGAGCTTAGAAATCGAAGCTTTAATAACTTATATCTAAACTCCTTCATGAGACAAATGGTGACCCCATGAGACAACGAGTGAACTGGGCTGGCATCTATTTTGCTTAATACATAACTATAGCAATTCAAAGAGATATATTGCTGCCGTCTGATTCACGTTAAACAATAAATCTTGATTGAAATAGTACGAGTCATTACAGTTATGGCGTATTTAGTTTTAATAAATGAAATATACTTTATTTACTTGCTCTATTAAAAACGAAACTTATCGTAATTCCAGGTCGTTAAATATATTCGTAAAAGAGGAAGATGCGTTAACATTCCACCGGCACCCGGTGGCCCAGAGCACGGACTGCATCCGCGGGCGCGTGGGCTACTCGCGCGGCCTGCACTGCTGGGAGGTGGTGTGGCCGGCGCGGCAACGCGGCACGCACGCGGTGGTCGGCGTGGCGACGTCGCACGCGCCGCTGCACTCGGTCGGCTACCAGAGCCTCGTCGGCGCGACCGATCAGAGTTGGGGATGGGATTTGGGCAGAAATAAGGTTAGTGATTGTGTAAAATGTACATAGATATAGAGCATTTAGCGTTGACTGGCGATTTTTTAAAGCTTCCCTCAGATCGGTTCCTAGATGCCTAATTATTATTAGGCATCTAGGAACCGATCTGAGCTAGCTATATACAGAATATATATAGAAGCTATTGCTTACATTTGTGTTACTCCAGGTCGTAATCTATTTGTATAGTAAATTTCATCCAAATCTGTTAAGCTGTTTTAGCGTGGGGGACAAAGTATTGTATTAACACATAATAAATTATGTTAGTTCTATAGTATAAATATTAAATTCCCATTTCATATATTAGTGTTTAAGTGAGCAATGTTTTGTTTTTTATTACTTTTATTGAATTGATTCTAGACGAAAAAAGATACAATTACGTCGATAATGCCACCCATGGGCCATGACGCATCGCTGCAGCGTCTAAATATAGGCGGGAAGAGCTGAATGGAGCGATATGTCATTAGGTTTTATTTGTCTACTCCACTCCACAAAGAAAAGCGCGCTAAAATGATGAATTTTTCTATTTAAATTCTAGTTTCCACATAAAGAGTTCAACATCTTAGTAAACTTGGACATTGGTTAAATTTACTCACTTGAATCAGTCGATGGCAGCTCCTAAAATAAATACAAATATAACCCATCAATGTGGTCTTTATGTATGTGGGATCTCCCACATCGCACAAAGGTTTCAATGAGGTTATAGGGATCAGGTATTGAAGGAGTTTTAAAAACAACTAAAAAGATTACAGGCGACTAAACTTTACTGCCATACCGAGACAAGGACGTCTAACTAGGTTGTTAATGGATATGGCCAGAAATCAAATCAGGAGGACTGAGTAATAAGTAATTAGGTACATAGGATTTAGATGGGCGATTGCACATTTGCAGCAAGTAAACCTACCTCTCATTCACTCCCAGAATCTCTTATAACGGCATCATTTGCTACTTAAACTGACTAATTTGAATTAATATTAAATTTTTTACTGCACTTTAAAGAATACAAACACAAATAAAAAGTTTTAGTTTTACATTTTTGTCCTTGATCAATTACAGGTGTTCCACAACGCGAAAGGCACAGGTGGTAGCGGCACCACGTACCCGGCGCTGCTGCGGCCGGACGAGCAGTTCCTAGTGCCGGACCGCCTGCTCGTTGTGCTGGACATGGACGAGGGCACGCTTGCCTTCTGCGCGGACGGGCGCTACCTCGGCGTGGCGGCGCGCGGCCTGCGCGGCAAGACCCTATACCCGATAGTCTCCGCTGTGTGGGGACACGCCGAGATCACTATGAAGTATATCGGTGGACTTGATCGTGAGTACGCTTTTATGTTAATGTCCTTCTTTATTTCTCGATATTGGGAAATGTATTTAAATAAATATATGTAAATAAATATGTTGGTATATTAAGACAGCATCATTTAGTTCCATGGTAAGCTATGAAGCTTGTGTTATGGATACCAGATAGTTGATACACTACACATATATAACTATACACCCATGACTAGACTACAAACATTCGTGCTCATCACACAAATGAATGCCTCCGCTCAGGAATCAAACCCGTGACCACTGGCATAGCAAGTAGGGTCACTACAAACTGAGCCAAACGTGTCGTCAAAGGCATTAGGCATACCGCAAAACAGGTGATTATGTGGAACATAACGAAAGATGCCGGAACTACACACTGAAACTTAACAGAACCTTCCCTGTCTCAATGGGGAGCCGCCCTAAAGGATAATTAATGATTGGAGGTGCTTGATTTATTTCCGGTTTAGTCGATTTGTCGTCACACCAGAGTTGAGAGTAGGAACAGAGAGGTCACATTATGTTTGTGCGCGTTAAGGGGCCATTCATTAATTACATAAGGATGATTTTAACGATTTTTGCCTCCCCCCATATCAGGGCATATATAGATTTTCTTAAACCCCCTAACACCTCCCCCCCCCCCCTGGGGACCCTTACGTAATTAATGAATGGCCCCTAACTATAATATCTTCTGCGCAGATAACCTCAGTAAGGTTAGCCCCCGTGGCCGAAATCGGTTTGGAGGACTTCCATATATTATGCTTTATATGTATTGAAATTGGTAATTGGTTGTGTTTAAATGTCAGGGTTCGGAACTTCGAAATGATACTTATCATTGAACATAAATATAAGTGACTAATAATAATTTATTGAGCAATAAGACACAAACAGTATATAATATTACATACATATATTATTATACAGAACGATCTTAGTTTCTTATCTTATTTAACTTAGGTTGTTTCGACACAAAAGATATGATAGCCACTGTTGCCGTACTAGAAGACTTGTAGGATAAATAAAATCCGTATAAATATTATAAATGTGAAAGTTTGTGAGTATGCATGTTTGTTACTCTTTCACGCCAGAACGGCTGAACGGATCTGGATGAATTTTGGCACAGAGACAGATAATAGTCTGGAATAACACATAGGCTACTTTTTATCCCGGAAAAAGTATACGGTTCCCGAGGGAGGGTTTGTTTTTCTAGTCAAAAATATTTTAATTTGCCAATATGCTATAGATGATATTCCTTCCAGTTACAATTATTAATTTATTTAACTAGTGTGGAAGTTAGTTTACTGTCTATTATTATTTTTAAATTTTGTACTCAACAAGTAGTAATGAATAAAAAATAAAAGATCATGTTTAATGTTAATTAAATAAAACTTAAAAGGTTAGATTAAATGTGTCTAATTTGAGCAATCAAACTATTTGCTTCCAATGTAAATGTTGACGGATACTACCGTTTATTTAAGGCTAGCTTTTTAACTGATGGATCATTATAGGACAACATAATTATCATAATATTTTCGAACACTTATAAATGTACATAATGTATAAATTTACTTCACGCATAGATAATTTGTAAGATGAAGGACATCGTCACAGCTCTTGTGAAAGATTAATATTTTAAATGTATGATTTCTAATGATCTTAATTAAATATAAAGTAAAAAAGTGAACGTGAAAAACAAAACAAATCTATTTCACGGGAACCGTACATTTTCCGGGATAAAAATTACGTATGAGCGCTATTTATTCCAAACTATAATCTATCTCTGTGCCAAATTTCATACAGATCCGTTTAGCCGTTTCAGGCAGACAGTACAGTTCGGCCGTTCTGGCATGATTTAGTAACAAACATCCATTCATTCAAACTTTCACATTGATAATATTAATGCGATTATAGAACTGTTCAGTAAAAAACAAAAAGTTTAACATAAACTGTTAAACCTTATTTTTCTTGTTATATTGCATCTTAATATTCCACATACATGATGAACAATCCTTAAATTTTTATGATCATAATAATTATTATAATATAAAATGTAGTCAGTCACACAGATAAAAAATGTGTCTCTTTCTTGTTCTTCACTATATATTATTCAAATATGGAACCAAAGTTAATGGAGAATTTTTTTTTTATATTACAGCGGAACCTCTCCCATTAATGGAGTTATGCAGACGCGTGATCAGACAGCGCGTAGGGCGCGCTCGCCTCCGCGCCGCCGCCTCGCGCCTCGCGCTGCCGCCCGCCCTCACCGCCTACCTGCTGTACCGCGCGCCCTAGCCGCCCTCCCCGCCCTGCCCGCCCTCACGCCCGCCCACACACGCAACACTCACGCCGCACGACGGATCGCCACATAGATATATTGAGCGATTCAAACAGAATAAGGATGTGCAACGCACACGCAATGTGACACTTGTGCCGATACGCAATATATCTATATCGATTGACACTAATAGCAGATGTATTGTGCGATTCAATCAGAATAAGGATATCAAACGCACTCGCAAACATGCGACGTTCAAGCCTTTTGCATTATATAGCAAATGTTATGCATATAGCAGCGGATTTGTAGTGCGATTTCTACGACTAATGAATGTGAATCGTAAGATTTATACTCTCAAGGCTTCCATAGACAGCAATAGAAACAAACTTACGTGCAAGAAACCAATTAAGCAAGCAATGAAAACTAGCTAGAATTAGATCACGCGACGCTTCTCACGACGATTTGAGCGAAACATTTATGACACAATTCCAACTTTACATTCTGTAATGAATACAGAAGTGACGGAACATTATAGAACATTCTAGAACATCTAACTACTGTTAACATCCTATCACCTTATTTTTTTATCATAAATCCTTTTTACTATTCACAAGTAGCTGCTATCTACAAGCTCTCAAATTAATGCTAGTTTAAATTATAATCTAACAAAATCGTACAAAACTTATAAACTTGACTAGCTCTACTAGAATGTATAGAGATTATAAAAAAAATGCTGAGTAAGTTAATGGAGTTACAACTCTCCTAGTTCGTGTATGGTCGTGTTACTTGTTATTATTTGACACATTCACCGTATTTCCAATTTGGATACATTTTTATTTTTATTTTTACACTATCTGTGATATTTATGTGTTTATGCATCACCATTGTCAAATGTTTATTCATCAATCGTATTTTAAATCATATTATAATATATAATCAGCCGGGTGGACGAATATGAACAATTTTTTAATTATCATCGAGATAATTGGTTATATACTAAGATTACTATTAAAAACGAATAAAAGTTTTTTTTAATTGGCAACAATGAATTATGTCAAAATATGTAACTAATGTATTAATAATGATGAGTTTATATGAAATTATTATCATTTGTAATCGTCTACCTCCGAGGATAAAGCACATTGATTGTAAAGTTTGAAGGTGTCTTGTTGTGCTTGGGCTTTATTTTAATGAAATATGTGAAGCTGTAGTGGTGGGCGAATATGGTACTATTCCGTTACCGATATTATCGTTGTATGGACAATTTATATACGATAATATTTATAAATAAGACATGGCAGTAAAATCATTACCAAAATTTGTGTTAACTTCGATCTGTATGCAAGCCGCACGTTTTTAAAGCCATATTGATCTCTTATAAAATACGGCGATGGATCGTATTTAACTCTTTAAGAAATATTTTAGAAGATCAACAGCAACTTATACATAATTCCGAGCCGTTGTCTCGAGGGACGGCTCGTGCCCTAGGCCAGTGTATCGTTGGCAATCTTACATACTATTTTATAGTTCATTAAGTGACTGGTTTTTTTTTTAATTTAGGATCTAATTCCTATTGTAAAAACGTGTGATTGTGTGATGTATATATCTATGACACGCATTTTCTTTGGATATATGAATTGTGAATATTCACTCGGGACTCGAGATGAATCTAAACCCCGTTTCTAATTATTCTCTCCTTAACTCATCTTTGTCTTCTTCGGTGACATTTAGATTATTAGGTGTAACGCAAAAAAATTATGAGAATAGTATTTTCAAGGGCACTGTTTTCTAACGAATATGTCAGCCATTTTTAACGCAAATTAGTTATATCGAATCAATGTAAAATATAAGTACTTCCATTTCGATAAGATTTTTTTTCATATGTAGAATGTATGGCAAGTAGACATCGTGTGGAGCTCTTATATGCTGTCGATATTCGCATCTCACTCTAGCTTCGATACTTCGTGTTACACAGCGCAGGGCTCGAGCGCAAGAGGGCATATTATTTTGAATATAACGAGTTTTATGTGAATATCGACATGTGTGACAAAACTATGATAAACTGCCAAATGCGAGGTGCGAATGAATGAATGGACGCGAGTGAATGAAGTGAATGAGAGCTGAGCGAGTGTATAATGGCGTGATCGAGTATTTTCTTTGTGTAAGAGATATAATCATGGTAACATAAAATACACCAAGCTCGATGTATTGTTGACGCGCTCCTTTAGGATAAGCCCCCTGATACCTTACTTTCGATGTATTGTTTTATGCCCAAATTAGTGTTAATTTATTCCTAATCGAGTAGGGGCTCGTTCGAAAGGGCAAATATGATTAGTGAAAAAATATCGATTTTAATTTTATAAACCGTCATATTTTTTGTCTTGTATATAAATATAATTTTTGCGGCGTTTAATGACTTTTATTATAAGTGAAATGCATTTTAGTTTTATAAGTAGTAGGCAATATTTTTAAAAAGTCATTTCTAACAGACAACTGCGTTGGCAGTGGAATCTCTTAGATACAATGATTAAAAAAAATAGGAAAACGATTGGAATAAATATACTGGTTAAGAAAATAATAAATAATATGAAATAAAAACGCTTTTTATTGTTATATAGTGTGTATTTAATTTAAGTATACATTAAGATTACATTACATCACATTAAAATTATAGTAGATTAAATAATGAAAACTCAAGTTGAATTCTAGGGCATCGTCACTGGTTTTACTTAAACGCAATATTTATTTGCCTTGGAAACTAAACAGCATGAGGACGGAATATACATTATTTTAAGTACATATACCTATAAAGAATTAAAGTAATTAATAAAATTTAAAATAACACCTGTTCTATCAGCTTAAATATGGCTCAAGTTCATACTAATACATTGAAAAACAATATTAACCTGCCAGATTTTATATAAAGGCGCATTTACACAGTTTCTCGTTTCGATGATACGAATATCGAAAAGATGAATCAAATTAAGCAATGTAAATTGAACCGTATGACAAACCACATAAGGTGCATTATACATTGTTCAGCTTTTCCTTATCTCATTCACAAATGAGACAGGAAAAAATTTGATATTAATCACATAGAGTGTGGTGCTCGACCACTGTATCATCGCTTATAAGTATAGTGTTGTCTTCCTCAAAGTCCTGCGGCACGTCGATCTGCGCAGTCAGCTCGTGTATACTTTCGATCAGTTCATTGAGCGATGCCTGCGGAACAAAGTTGTCTTTTCATAATACTTTCTTAAACCATGATTGCTCTGAAATATTCGAAACGTCGGGAACCAAAAATGAAAATAAATCCGCAACAAAATCCGAACAGATAGTTTAATTTAAATTGTCTTTTCATTTTACTCTCAACACAAAAATAAGCAAATAAAAAAAAATCATAAAGAATTTATTTACATAGTATTTAATATAAATTTAAAATAAATTGTAAATAAAAATTCATTGGAAAATGTCAATAAAATATGTAAAAACAACACATGCAAACATTTATTTTCATCACTTAAAATCACGTTCTAGTTCATTATACTGACTAACGACAAAATATTTAATCTTATTGTAAAAATAATAATAATAATATTCTTTATTGTACACCAAAAAGAAATATAAAAAAAAACAACACAAAGAAAAGATGCTCAGCAGGCGGCCTTATCGCTGGAAGCGATCTCTTCCAGGCAACCTTGAGGTGGAGTAAGTGTTCATACCAAAGTGCCATCAAAACTTAATTTTACCTTAGTTTCACTGAAGTTTTCCAAATATGTATCAATAGCAGGATCTTCTCCTTCCAAGGGTTCAGCCAACACCCTCAAATGGTCGGGTAATAAAGACAGGTCCAACTCCCCGGTAGTTTCGTCTCTGAGTATTCTATTAGAAAAATGTTTTATTTTTAATAGTTTTTAATAAATTTTGTCGCAACAAATATTACATAGTGAAAGGTGTTCTCATATAAAAAATGTGTTCCTTTATGTTCTGAAAACTTTTATAGACAGGTTTTGATGGAAGTAAATTCACGTAAGTCGTCATCGACATGGTCACGTGACGTGTTAACGCTAAATACCGATAAATGTCAAAATCAGATAAATGTTAACATTATCATTATACATAAAGATCAAGCAATTAATTTGAATATCCAAAAAAACAACCGTTTATAGTTTTCACTTGAGTCGGCAGTCCTCAGGACTGCTTTTTTTGTAGACTTTTTTTGGTTTATTTTACAAGTAATTTTTTTATATTTTGCATGTTTTACTTTTTTACTTTTCTCGGTCATAATCGTATCGTCTTTTTTGTATTCAATTTATGTAAAGTCTAATGAAATCATAAATCTAAGAAACAATTTTAACAGTTGTTTTACTTCTAATGGATATATAGTTATTTATCCTGACTGACATATTACTCGTAATAAGCTTATATTAGCATCACTCGTAACTGTGTCACCAAATTTTGTAAGTCAATTTTAATAAACTTCTAATTGTCGTAACGAAGTTAAATTTTTTACGTTTATTATGTTGTTCTGATGACAATACTATAACTTCGTATTTTATAGCTAATTTGATGATGAAGCCAGGTGGATCATGGCTTATATGGATCAAAACTATAATTATTACGAGCCGTAAATTCCAGTGTGATCATAAAGTCCCCCCTCACCTGAGTATGCGCCTGCGCGTGAGCTCGGGCGCGGTGAGCACGTGCACGGCGGCCAGCGCGCAGGCGTCGCCGGCGCGCGCGCGGCGCTGCAGGCGCGGCCACGGCACGCGCAGCGACACCACGTGCTGCGCACGCCGCGGCACCACGCGCCGCGCGCCCACCAGTTCTGCCTCCTCCGATAGGAACCTGTATTGTACTGGCGGACATTTTTTTTTTATTTAAATGAACAATGACAATAATTAATATCCCATAATAATGGTCACGCGCGCCCAACGGGGCCGTCTCGTCGGAGGAACATGTAATGGTGGCACTGATAGTGCAATGGTTATATTAGTCCTCTTTCTATACACATACTATTAAAATGCACTTCGCGTATACACAAATACAAGCACACCAGCCTTGTTCTGTTGTACGGCGTGAGGTCTAGCGGCATTTAATAGGTATTTAAGGAACCACCAACTAATGCACCATTTAATATAGTGTGCAAAGCACATAATTATTATGCTTATCTTTCCTAATTCTTCGTGAACATGTAATTAAAGCAGTTATTTTAAACTTCCAGGTATTCATGAGAACCAATAACAGATAATATGGTATTAGCGAATTATATCTCATTGTATAATCACGTTATTCAACTTAGTTAAAAATAAATTGTGTAAGTTTTAATTTTAATTTATTTTGGAATGAAGTTTCTTATCACACATTGTACTCTGCACACTTGGCGAATGAAAGCTAGACGGAAAAAGTGTAATATTTCGACCGTCATCACACTTTTTATTATTTACTAAGGGCACATATATCGTTACTATAAGTATCAAGTGAAGATAAGAGTTAAGGAATATATGTTGCTAGAAAATTGTGTGCAGGTCTTTCTTCGTAAGCTTCAACATGTACAATGTACGTTGCTTGATGTTAATGATACCCTAGTATCTGTGGCAACTTTTATGATCTAATTTATGTGCCACAGGCAGACAGCGAACTTTGTTCCTACCGAGCATCCCACATCACTTTCTACTTCTTTTTTAAAACAGACGTTTCCAAAATGCTGAGTAGATTTATGAGTTTATAAGAACCAGCAACACATACGTACAATTGAACTGCACGGCGGCGCAGACGAAGACGGGCGCGGGCGCCTTGTTGTAGAGCGCGAGGTCGAGCGGCGCGTGCGGCGGCGCGCGCAGCAGCGCCGTGCGCCCATACGTCACCAGCCCCGCCCAGCGCGCGCCGCCGCCGCCCGCGCAGCCGTGCAGCTTCACCTGCGCAGACGCACGTGTCTCACTTAGACGGGGTTCACACGGCATTGTCCTGCACGTTTTTTTACAGTATACGTCTTAACGAATATAGTAGCACATACGTTGTACATAAAACCGTTCACATGTCTTTTGTACTGCAAAAAATCGTACACCGTTTATATGTTTAAACGAATTTAGTGGAAGATTATTATACCGAAAGACAATTTTTCTGCATTTTCAGGCAGTAATTTACGCCTTTTCTTCTGGTAAACCATCCCAACTTCAGAGAAAAGACGCTCTCAGTATATACTATTTCCTGGCGCCAAACAAGAAACAAACACGTCGATACAAGTTTTCCCGCCACGCACTGACCGAATACTTTTGCCTAATATACGGCTACTGGGCCAGAAAGCTCAATATTCGGTATTCGGCGTGTGGGCGAATATACTATACGTTGCAAATCAACTTATTACTGGTTGTCGGTAGATGGGTAGATGAATAGATAAATATATAGAATCTAGTGCGGTTTAAGCGTGGCCAGGTAACAGATAGAAAAAGTTACTTTCACATTTATAATATTAAATGAAATAGATTATCAACCTAGTATATCTTCTTCCTAGTGTTTAACACTCATATTGTTCATTAACAACATACACGTATCCCCCACCCTAACTTATTTAAATAAAGCTACTTATAACTACCAATTAATATTAGCTTTAATTATAAAGCACAATATCGTATTTGAAATCTAGTCTTAGTTTGAAAAAACCCATATTCATTGCACTTCTTATTTCTAAAGTAAAGATTTAGACATGTTAATTACATCTACTGATTTGCAACAAATAATTCAATCTTTACCTTTCTAGAAAATTCGTTGCTTTTATCGAACACCAGATGCAAGGCAGCCGCATATGGCATACAGGAGTTAGGCGAGAATATAATCGGTAACGGTCTGCATTCACACGGACCGAAAGACAATATAAATGTGCCTCTCATTTCGTACCCAGGAGCGTCTATTTTGAAGCCCTCCCCAACAATCTGGCATCGAATCTGGACCTTTCTGTTGGTGGAGTTCTTCAAACTGAGCTCCTTCCTTCCGGCTCTGACCCATGACATATTGTTGAAGTTGGTTTTGATGGGGAAAGTCTTTGGTTTGTCTGAACCACCCACTATGTCGATAGTTGTTATGTTCCCGTTTGCTGTGTCTTCTAATATTAATGTTCTGTAATTATATAACAATATTTTCAGTTACTTTCATAATGACGATATAGGTTTTTTTTGATAATTAAAAAAAAGGCTTGTTTTACGGATATTAAATTATTAGGGTCATTTAGCGAAATAGCAAAAGTCAATAATCACTTTTAAAGACATTTTCACTGCCAGGTTAACATTAGGATGAAAAATATTATAATCTTTTTGGCACGGTATGTAGTGAGGGTCGTATTAAAGCAGGTCATGTGTTGTATGCATATACATATGTATAATAAATAATGGCTGTCTCAATGGTCTTGTGGCTAACATGTGCGACTTCAGATCCAAAAGTGCTAAGTACGAGTCCCGGTCGAGTAAAGTAATAGCTTGGAATTGGGAAATTAGCAGTGATTGAAGCCTGTGCCTCGGAGAGCACACAAATATATCAATTCTACACCCAATATCTCACCGCGAGTGTGGAATTGTCGACAGGATTACAGTGCACTTGAATTTCTGCACAAACACAATATAACACAAATTAGTCAGATGGGTATTACAATTATTACTATTTTAACACCTCCAGGTAAATTTCTAAGAAATTAATTAAATTTCTAAGAAATCTATTGTTAAATGTAACGCCGGCGTGTCCGCGGTCGTGGAGGGATTAAGACAGAAAAAAGTTAATAACTACAGAAGCAATATACTTACCCTTCACTTAAAACATCTGATGGTCCAGTATAAACCAAACTCATCTCTTTAACTCCTCCAGGGGGTATATCCAGCTTAGTGGCTGACACTCTAAATGGAAATTGACCGTCTTTGCTAGAATTACTCTTGAACTTCACAGCCCATATACCGCCGATAGTACCAGTGTTGCATAAATTAATTTTTGTTGTTTCTGTAAAAAATGTAAGTATCTCTAGTTTTTTCTATTAGTATTATATGTATCTACTATAAATAAAATAAAAACAGATATTTTTACTTTTATATGTTAAATAACGACTCACTCTCGCTTCGCTTCGGGTTCGCCCCTAGACAAAAACGATCCATCCCACGGAAACCTTACACTTTTCCGGGATAAAAAGTAACCTATGTGCTATTCCAGACAATAATCTATCCCTGTGTCAAATTTCATCGAGATCCGATCAGCCGTTCTGGCGTGAAAGAGTAACTAACAAATATCCATCCACCCTCACAATCTTTCACATTTATAATATTAGTATGGATTAATAGAAAAACTATCAATGAAATTATTTGTCACAGGATACTATTAAAAAAAATTTCATTAAACTTTAACAAAGTTAAACCTACTGTTTCTTTATAAGTCATATAATATAACAAAATATCGTTTGTAAGTTTAGTTTTATTACCATTTGTAAGGTGCAGTTTGTTGCTAGAAGCCTGCAGCACGAGGTTGACGCTGCCGACGGTACCGATGAGACTTACATTCTTTAAAATCGTGTCAATTCCGATTAAATTAACGTTCAAAGTTCCCTTAAATGTGGCGTTTCTTTCGTCTGCGAAATTTAATATTGTTATTTAAATAAATTGTAGTATTCTAACTTTGAATAAGACTCCTCTAATTGTTATAGACAAATACTATATTTTGTGTAGACAATACTAATAATACGTTTTAGTTAATAAAATATATTTATATAGTAAAAATATTTTTAAATAATATCCCAAACCACTTACTTAACTCCAGTTCAGATAACTTCGGCGCATTAAATATAATTGAAACTTTTATAGCGTTGCCACTACTCAGTCTACACAATTGCTTACTAATCGTCTTTGTCTTCTTAACTTGACCATCTTCTGTCGATCCCTGTCTCTCCATCAAAGCTTTACTTACATCATTCTTTTTAATCTCTTGTACAGATTTAATCACAAACATGCTATCACCCTCCGATATTGAAAGTTCTAATTGCAAATCCACCGGACAATCGCTTATGAGAACAAAATATTTCGTCATAGAAGATTTTTCTTGAATTGGTGGAAAATTGACGATATTGACGCCATCGCATGACAACGCTTGTATTGTTGGCGTTTTGATACTAATCTCGATATGTCCCTTCTGTATAATTTCATCGTCTATAGAAGTGTCCTTTAAGTACATTGTGAATGGTAAGTATGAATTGAATTCTATGTTAGAAGTGATGTGTATTAGGAACTTTTCGGTTTTCCCGGGAGATAGCAGAAGTGGTAAACGAGGCAGTTCTATTGTGAAGTCGTTTTTGATTGCAATATTATCGAATTCAAATTTCGCAGTCAACCAACTGTTGGTTAGAGTGGTCACTGATATGAACACTGCAGTACTTACACCTGAAACAAATAGTATCTCTATAATACTTTATATTAATCTAGGACGGTTGGTGATAATAGGAAATATGCGTGTGATTTAATCACAGATCTTATTAACTTGTTAGAAAAGATTTTAAGTAAAAAAAAATATTTTTTGTTATGTAGATAACACAGTTTAAAATTGATCCTTGTTTTGCGCAAAAGCTAAGAGCCAGACTATGATACCAACGATGTCTGGATGGGGCCGTTGCATTGTATACATCACTAACTTGTATTATTGGAACCACACTCGCTATTAATAAAAAAAAAATTAAAGCTAAAATCAAGTTTTACTTACCCACAAATCCCTCGACAGGGCTGACCACTATATCAGCCCATTGCTCTGGAAACAATCAATAATTATTATTAATATAAAATTTACATACAAAAACTATATGTATGAAATAAATATAATATTAAACAACAAAAAAACTAATGTAAATAAAAGCAAAGCCAAATAGAACCCTCTATTAACACAATATAATAATAACATCTCAAATATTATGGACATAATACATAAAATCATCAAGAAAAATATATAAATCTTAGTAATTATAGGCAGTAGTAGCCCAGTGCTAACGCGCTCGCTTGGGAAACCGAGTGAAGAGATTCAAATCCCAGGTATCACACAGCACAGTCACACCTCTTATATTTGTAAGAATCATTTCCAACATGATTAACACTTGTCTTACGGTAAAGGAAAACTTCGTGAGGAAACCTGTCTGAGAGAATCTAGCAAGTTTTCAAAAGACAAGCTCAATCCGCCCGCACTTGGCCAGCGTGGTGGACTATAGCCTGATCCCCCTCGTAGTAAAGAGAAACCCGTGCCCAGCAGTGGGACGTTAAAAAGGGCTTAATACAATTATATTATGTTCCTAATTCTTAAATATGCAATCTCAGACATAAATGATTGTGTTATATTTATATTAGTTGTGAAAAAGTGATTTATGAATTAAAAAAGTTACTAAATGATTTATGTTTTGTAGTTGTTAATATGATTAGAATGTTCTGAAATCTAAATCATGTTTTTAGTAAGCTATTAATTAGATATGAGTTGAGTGCTAAAGCGAGGCCCACAAACCTTTAGCAAAGCTCGGCTGCCTCAACTGTTTTTGCTGTAAAACCTCTTGCCAATCTACTGACTTATCTAATTCTCTATATTCTAGATTATGGGAGGGGATATATGGTGAAATATTGCCTGAAAATAACTACAAGTTACTAACACTGTATGGATGTGTTTAATATATTCTCTATCTGCCTGAATATAAAAATATTGTATATTTGATTCATAAATACATATTATTACAGAAAATATTAAAATATGTATAATAATTGTTATGATTTCAAAAATTACGAAGCCAAAAAGATATTACTAGTTACCACACCCTAAGTTCTATATAGAAAATAAAAAAGACAAAAAAAACGGAGGTGATATTGACTTATAATAAATAATAATAAAAAAAAACATTTTTATGAAAAAAGTTAAAATAATATTCATATTACTATAGAGAATCATAAAAAGAGTTACAAATCAAACAAACAAACCTTAATTAATAACAACATATACATACCATTACTAGAATGCAGTGGACTATCATTAGATTTGAAACTCGGAACTTCTTGCACAGTACTGAGAGTGGAATGACTTTTTGTTGAAGGGGTATTAGATCTCGGAGCTCTATACATTTTAACATCTTCACTTTCAACATTTTCTGAGTCTACTGAATGCCGAGTGACAATCACTGATGGAATATCATTTTTGTCATCAGAAATTTTCAATTTATCTAATGAAATTACAGTGTGAACTGTCCCAGAAGAACTAGCTGTTTCCATTTCCTTTGTATCTTTTAGATGTGTTACATACAGCTCTTGGTTTGGTTTGTTATTGTCAAGAACATTCATGTGCAGTTCGGTGAGTGGTTGCTTCCTATTTACTTGCTTTGTGTGATTGTTTAGTTGTAAAATGTCTGTCACACTAACATTGGATTGTTTCCCTGTAATTAATTAAGAAACTTTAAGGTACTATTAAAAAACGATTGAATATCGATCAAAAAAGTATTAGATACACAATCAGCGACAAAAAATGTCCTCACAGAAAGAGCGCTCATTTGAACATTTGAGCGCGCTTTTTTTTGTGAAAACACTTTAAACATTGCGTCATTGCATTTAAGGTTCAATTTACATTGTTGCATATTTATTTCAACTGGAATAATTACCTTAAACCTTTGAACGGGATTGTGTATTTAGTACTTTGTTGATTGATTCAATAGAAGCATAAAAAGATAAGGAATTAAAATTGTTGAGCTTTCAAGCCATTAACAAGAAAATTTCATTGAATTGAAAATTGTTGTAGTGTAATGATAGTTTCTTATATAACTGAAACATATGATTTGGTGTTATGTGATGTTCGCCCTACCGATGTCGACCACGACGGTCAATCTCACTGAAATTGGCCAAGTGGCCAGGAGATATTATGAACACAAGTGTGCGCACAGACACAAGTGCACTCTCTATTCCTTTCACTCTCAAATTTCGACGGACGATATACCGACACGACCGGTGAGAAATCAGGCATAGGATCGACGGCTGAACATGCTCTCCGAGGCACGCTGGTGAAACACCACCAACTTACCGACCTCAGACTGTTACTGGAACTTGCTTAACTGAAAGACTCAATAAACTTCGGACCGGACTCGAACCCAGGACCTCCGGATGTTCAGCCTTACATGCTAACCACTGTACTACTGTATCTGCTCTGAGATAATAAATGTCTGATAATGTTTAGATGGCTGGTGTAATGTATTATGTAGATTGATACTTGCCAAGTTTAGTTACACATTTTATAGGAATTAGTTTTAATATTTAAATGGAGTGAAACTTTTACCTAAATAGTCAGCGATCTTTGAAATACTCAATGAATTCTCTGTAGAACATTCGGTATCATCCGTGGCTGGTCGTAACGAAGAATGCAGATTTCTTAGCAATATATCAGTTGGCTTTGAAGATGTAAACTTATGGTTGGATTGATTCAACTTCTGTGGGATATTTACTGGACCTTTAGTGACAGCACTCTTATTAAATGTTGTTCTAGAAACATCCATGGTTTGTGGTTTTGGCATCAAAATTACATCATTTACATCAGTTGGGAATAAATTAGTTACAACTTTTTCATATGTTCTTTCAGTCTTAGGCTGTCTTACAGGTACACTGTCTAAAGTTTGGTCAATTTTGTAAGTGTGATTATTATTGGCATTGCCCTGAGTGATTTCTTGCGTAATTGAAGATACTGAAATTTATAAATATAGTTAATATTATGTAATATTGTATGTTTGTTGCTGTAGGTTTGGTTTACACTCAGGGCGTCATAGTTGAGTGCGTAAGTGATCTTACGGCGCCCCATTAAGGCGGAGGAAGTTCTGTTGGCTTAAGAGGGTAGTACTGGCTTTTCTAGCCGGTGAGACTTCACATAACCACCTCTATACACAGTATGTACATAATATGTATTGCAAAGAAAAATAAATCGTTACCTACAAATATTGTCCTATCTAGAATATACTACACAAAAGATGTTTTTACCTATTGAAAAAGCCTCTAGATAAATATATATTCAACTTAAAACATAATATACTATTAATAAAATATACATACCATCTGCAATGTTAGCTCTGTCGGGACTGTCACTGTGACCAAGGATTCTTCCAAATTCAGGACATCTATTTTTAAAATAAGCACCGACAGACATATTGAAGCTACTCATCCTGAAATAGTAAAGAAAGATTTAGAATTTTACTTTTTTTTTTTTTTCTCTTTATTTAAAGGACTTGTTCACAAAAAAGAAACATGTCGTCCTGTTCGGACTTCTTACATGCTACATAATACATTTTAAATCCTGAACACTACTAACATAATTATGTATTAAGGTTAGAACTATAACTAATAACGATAAATGCAAGCACTTAAAAAAAACCCCTTTAGTTATACTACGAATATTTATATAATCAAACAATTATCTGTTTTTTAAGCCTAACTTCACTAATTTATACACACTTTTAGCGGAACTTGAGTGAGGACATGTTAACATACTATTGCAAATTCCAATATTCATATCATTTTGAGCAAATATATGCCTTCTAAACGATTCATTCCGAACACATTCCATCAAAACGTGATAAACATCTTCATTTTTCCCACACTACACACAAAGGAGATGAAACCTTTTTCATTATAAATGCAAAATAGTTAAGGGGAATGTGTCCAGAACGAATTCTAAAAGCTAATTTTAGGGTGGATCTATCTAAATTACAAGATTCAAACCAAGGAGAGTGAAAGGGTACAGGCTGAATAGTCCTATACCAAATCCCCTTGTTCTGAGAAGTCTTTTCAAAGTTTTGCACCCACAACTTACTAATATGTTCTTTTAATATAGGTAACAGATCACAATAAAAAGGCACTATGCTTAGGGGTATTCCATCGGATCCTGCCTCTCTTGCAAGGCGATCTACCAGCTCATTTCCTGTAACTCCTACATGAGACGGAATCCATTGGAATATTACTTTTTTATTAGAAAGTTCTAAATTTAGAATTGTTTTCAATATGTTGTAGGCTATCGGTACTCCTCGAAAATTCGAGGTGCACCGAGCCACGTGTTGGAGCGCACTTCTAGCGTCTGTTAGAATAACAAATTTGTTATGACTAATATTATTTACATAAGATAGTGCCTCCGCAATAGCGAACAATTCAATGTACATAATGGAAACATTGGTTTCAATTTTTAACCTAATTTTAGTACCTAACTGTGGGTCTAATATAGCTGCTCCAAACCCATTATCTCCTTTCGATCCATCAGTATAAATTTTATAACAATCAGAGTATTTTTTGTGTATCATTTCTAAGCATTTGTATCTTAAATTGGAGATATCTATCTCTTTTTTTGATTCTGTGACATTTTCTATGAAACAGAATATATTATTTTCTAAATTAATGTTTTGAACCCACATGTTGAGATTAAACATTTCTAATTTTTTCGAAGAATGGATGGGGAAAGATTTTAAAAGATTATATATATTAATTAACAAAGGTTTCTTTTTAGCCTTCCAATAGCCAGATCTAATGCACTGAGAGTATAATTGACTCACTAGCTCAATATTCCTATTGTTCCGAAAAGCTCGACTTCTTAACCAAAACTTCCCTGCTAAGAACGACCTACGCAAAGAAAGTGGATGTAAATGGAGTTCGTTTTCCATAACATGCACTGGAGTCGTTTTGATAAACCCACCAATAATACGCATGCAATGATTTTGGACTTTATCAAGTTTGTATAAATTCATATTAGAACTTGTGTCATAAAGAAAACACGCATAATCCATACGACTACGTATCAAAGAAATATACAACCGTCTTAGATGTTTAGGGTGCATACCCTGGTCTGATCCTGCCAAAATTTTAAACATGTTTAAACATTTTTGTGCTTTATCTAAAATTTTATTTATATGTTTAGTCCATTTAAGATTCTTGTCCAACCAAAGACCTAAGTATTGGACACATTCAACTGGTTGAATCTGAATTCCTTTAAGTTTTATGTCAATATTCATAGGAAGTTTATTCTTTCCCTTCCTAAATAAACAAGTTTTAGTCTTTTTTTCAGAAACTTCTAAACCCAGAGCCTCTATCAAATTGTTAAATTTATCTAGTGCCAATTGTAACTGTAATGACCCCTCTTCTACTGACTTAAATGAACCATATAATACAAAATCATCAGCGTATTGAGATATAGAAACATTTTCTGGAGATAAGGGATCTCCTTGTGCGAGCCCCCGCCCTGTTATTCTTGAAATACTGTAGTTACCTGAGGAACGTATATTTAATTCTCTAGATCTCATAAATTCCCACAAATAAATACAAATAATTGATCCTACTCCAAGACTGTCTAATGTTTTCAATAAAATAGTAATATCAACGTTGTTATATGCGCTCTCAATATCAACAAAACATCCTAAAGTAAACATATTGTCCCCAAATCCTAATTGAATGTGAGAAACTAAACTAGTCAAACTATCCAAACAGGAGTGAGCTTTTCTAAACCCAACAGTATTTCTAGAAAAGCAATTTAAATTTTCAAAAAACCATTCTAATCGGTGTTTTAAAATTGTATGGAAGATTTTACAAGGGCAAGACAGAAGAGCAATGGGTCTTATATCCAACAACAATTGAGATAGGCTACCAGTCTTCGGTATAGGGATAATTGAAGTTTTTCTCCATTGACTTGGCACATATCCAGAAGCCAGAATCATATTATATATCTGAATCAATATCTCTTTCCCATTAACAGGAAGGTATTTTATCATAGAAAAGGAAATGGAATCATCGCCAGGAGCTGTATCCTTGTTTTTAATAGCACGGTTGAGTTCATGTAGAGTTATGATGCTTTCCAGGGCTTGATTACTCGAAGTAAAAGAAGGCTTATCTGGCGAAACATAATCTGGGGATAAATTACGTAAAAGTTTATTGGCAATAGTTTCATCAATGTTAGCCCTAGGTAAACGGTATCCTTTTAACCATCGCATTCGACGGCACATTTCACTAAGGGACACAATTTCATTAATACTACTACAGAACTTTCTCCAAGCTTCTCTTTTAGCTTTACGAATAGTTCTCCGTGCAGAAGCAATTTTAGCTTGAAGATTGCTTAAATTATGGGGCGTAGGGTTTTTCCTAAAAATTGCTAATGCAAGTCTCCGTTCCGCTATCGAGCGAGAGATGTCTACATTCCAATATGATTTAGGAACAAATTTTTTAAGTCTTAATGGGTCTTGACAAATGTTAACTGGGGGTATATATATATTAGCAGCAGTATTAATAGCGTCAACGAATTGATTATACGCCTTCTGAGGATTGGCTGCCAATATCAAAACGGAGAAGATGCTTTGAAGAAAACTAGAATAACCATTCCAATTGGCTTTTTTAAAGTTCCTCTTTCGAACGAAGTTAGGACTCTGATTATTGTTATACAAGGAATATTTAATGATGAGATGATCGCTCCCTAACGATTCATTTGACATTGCCCAAGTAAACTTTAAAGCGATATCACTTGTTACCAATGTAATGTCGGGAGAAGATTTTTGTAGACTGCCATTGACCAATTTAATTCTAGTAGGTGATCCGTCATTCAGAGTTATATAATTTTTATCAAGCAATACATCAAAAAGTTGACTACCCCTGTTATCTGTCTTATATGACCAATTCGAATGATGAGCATTAAAGTCTCCAGCAATCAAAGTTTTATTGTTATAAATGCCAAAAATATAATCCCAATCGCTTGTTGTAGTCTGCACGGATGGCGGACAGTAGATAGCAATGATATTTTCTATTTGAAAACAATTCAGTAATTTTAGATGTATAAGTTGTATTCCAGGATTTGTACAGTTTATTTTAGATAATTGATATTTAATGGAGGCATGAACTATAATTGCTACACCACCATATCCGTCGTCCCTATCCTCGCGAACTATATTATAGCCAGATATCCTAAAGTTAACATTGGAATTTAACCACGTTTCACTTAAGACCGCAATATGAATTTTCTCCTGACATAAAAATAGTTCCAACTCAGTTAACTTCGGACGTATACTTTGACAGTTCCATTGGATTATATTAACAGAACGTAAAAAATTATTATCCATTTTGGAATAGATTTTTGAAGTTAGACCACTCTGATATATATTCCACAAATGAATCCATAAACCAGTCATACAAAACTTTTACACAACACTTGAGCTTTTTTGTAAAATTAATTTTTTTCATAAAAATTATGTCCTTAATTTTTTTAATTAATTGTTGTACATCAAATTTATTAAATTTCTCTCTTTGTTGGATATCTTCTCTCTCCTGTAGCTCTAGATCAATATCAGAATCTAATTCTAAAGTGTACTCCTCATCAGTTTGAACCTTTTCTTGGTCTTTTCTTGCTTTCTTTTTTTTTGTGTTAAATACCGATGCATTAGAATTAAGGGTTGTGTCCTGCTCCCTGTGTACTTCGGCTGTAGTTTTTAACACCTCTGCGTATGTTATATTGTTATCTGATTGAGTTGTCCTAGGTAGGTTTTCCTGAAGAGTGTCCTCTTGATGTCTTTCATACTGAGGTGAAGGTTGCACATACATTGTAAGAGCCTTTTTGTATGTACAATTGTATTCTGCCATCAATTCCCTTATTTTCTTTTCTTTTAAATAAACAGGACAAACCTTTGACAATGCCATGTGTTTACCCTTACAGTTTACACATTTAAAAGCAGTTGTTTCGCAATTATTATGAAATTTCCCACACTTAGGACAAATGGTATTCTTTTTTGAGCATTCCTTATAATTATGGCCAAATCGCCAGCACCTGGAACATTGCGTAACGGGGAAAACAAAAGGGTCTACTTTTATGCGTGTGCCATAAGAATAAATGTATGAAGGCAAGGACGAACCTTTAAAACAAACCCTTACACATTCACTATCTTCGAACCCACCATTGTCAAAATTCCGCCGCTTTAGCCGTTTTACATTTAATATTGGAGTGGTGCTAGTTAAATCTTGCAGAATTTCCGATTCAGTCATTTCTAAATCTATGTCCCTAATTATTCCATAAGAAATGCCAACTTCAAAGGTCTTTTGACATCGATATTCTTTATCAATGAAGTATTTGCATTGTATTAGCTTCTCTGCGCTTTCGTTTTTGCTGAATTTTAGCATCACTTTATAGGCATTAATATACCTCACTCGAATAATATCTAATATATTTTCCTGCTTGAGGATACGGGCCAATCCTAATTGCTTAGGTAACTTCTCCTTTTTCGATGTCATACTTATCTCAATTTGTTCTTCTGGTACTCTAGTCATATCATCGTCAGACGCACTGCGTGCCACTACTTTACCTCTTCTACCGACTTCTGTCCAAACTTCTCCCTCGTCTACCACCCGATTTCTCTTCTCTGCGCGACTTCTTTCTGTCCTCTCATATAATAATAACGAATTTTCGTCATTACTGTTAATCTCGGTCCTCCCTTCTAATAAATTAATTACTTCACAATCTCGGTCCATATCTAACGAGTTTATATCGCTATCCATATCCGACGAGTAAAAAATTCATTGCAATTTATAAAATAACAAATACGCGTACACTTAAACAAAACCGGTTCTAAACGACCGCCAACAACAAGCGAACGCAGGCAAAGACTCTAAAAATGTGCCATTTTTATTAGGCAATAATTCAATCAATTGTATTTTATTTATAATATTTTGATATAATATTAGAGACACTTACCGTATACTGTCCTGAAAGTTAGCTTGTGTGTTATGTTGTATAGGGAGAGGAGCTTCTCTCATCACTAAGGATGCTTCATCAGCTGTTAGATCTCTCTGTAAACAAGTTAATTACATACTAATATGCCATCTGAAAAATAGGTCTTCACAAATATTTTATTAGATTTAACTTATACATATGTATTTTATAACTATTTAAGAAACTTTTATTTCAAATCCTACTTCAGACCAATAATAATACTTTAGGGGTTGAGTAAGATGGAATGTCAAATATAACACACAACAACAAACAATGTCAGATATATTTTATAACAATTGAGTTTACCAATATTGATAATTTATGATGCAAAATCTTATATTTATTTATCTATACTAATATTATTAAGAGGCAGTTTGTTTGTTTAATTGATAGAGTTAATCTCACAAACTACTAATATGATTTGAAAATTATTTTTGAATTAGATAGCCTGTTTATTGAGAAAAGCTATATGCTATATAACATATAATCTATCTAGTCCATACTATATGTCAAAACATACCTAGGGACGAACCTAAGTGAAGCAAGGGTGAGTCCCTAATATTATTTGTAAAATTTATTACACACCTTAGAATGAAAAGAATAATTTGTAGCAATTGAATGTCTCATAATGTCATTTATTTCAGATGTTTGTTTATCCATATTACTAGTAATACTGTCCAGAGCTACAGAATGTCTGCCATATTCTTCAAAAGCTCTGGGAGCTCCAATTAGAGCTTTTATATCAGCATCCTCAGTCCCTGTAGACCTGCCTGTCATTTCACCTGGATTAAAGGCAGTCTGGAAACACAACACAAAAATTAAGGAAAATATGAATTATCTAGACTGTATTTTCTAAAATAAATAATACTTACTGATTTGCTAAGTGATATATTACTGATACCAGATTCACCAAAACCTGAAATAAATTATTGTATTAAATAAATATATTTTTTATATCAATTTGATGATAATATTGATTTAACATTTGTGCAAACTTATACATACCTATCAATAAAAACAATTATAATATATAAAAAAAATACCTTCAACTCTTTCCAAGTCTAAGATTCCCGAAGAAGACTCATAATTAGTTCCTGTTTTGTTAAAAGCCACATGACTAGTAGCTATGCTGCTATATCAAATAATTAAAATATTATTAGTATTCACTTTAATTTAATGTTAAACACAATAATAACTTTAGACAGGTATGTTTTGGTAGGTCCTACCTTTTCATATCATCGTTATTTATTGGTGTTCGCCTTGCTAAATTAAAAGATTTGTCTTCAGCTAAGTGCATCAATCTTTGAATTTTATTTGGTGTTAAAGGATTATCCATTATTTATTTTTCTTGTTTACAGAACCATCAACCAAGATTGAAATTGAACAATAAAAAAATGTTTCTTTTCGTTATAGTTCAAATGTTCAAAACATTTGACGTTTATAAATCCTAGTATTGCAATGCTTAAAATTAAAAAAAAATTAGGAGAAATCCCACAAAATATAATAAGAAATAATAATCCCGGTTTTCCAATTAGAAAGCATAATACCGTACTTTGGTACACCACAATGCCGAAGTGTGATAATGCTTAATTGGAACGTGAATTAGTCAGAGGGCACTAGATTCAGTGTCTGAAAAAATATAACTAATAATATGTATATAATATATAATAATATATATCGTCGAAATTATAAATTATATAAACTAGCGACTCACCCTCACTTCTCTCAGATTCGTCCCTAGCTTGCTTCCCAATACAAATTTCATGCCCATTTTCACACCCTTAAGGGGTAATTTCCGTGATAAAAACTATCCTATGTCCTTTTCAGGGGCTCAAATTATCTTCTTACCAAATTTCATCGAAATCGGTTCAGTAGATCCAGAAATTACCCCCTACAACGTCATGAATTCACAAACTTTACTTCTTTAAAATATTATATTAGTATAGATATATAATAATTATAACTAATTAATATATAATTATATAAATAAAATATAAATAAATATTACTAACGACAATGTAAATAAACTAAATGATACCAAATTTCATATAAAATACAAATACTGCTTATAGTTTCTGCAATACTCTATTTATCAAACCTCTTCATATTGTTTTTATATCTCAGCAAACATTTTTATATAAATAGGCAAAGCTTTTTCTCCTATGTTTGCCAACCGATTTTCTTTTTGTTCAGTAGCTATTGACAAGCTTTAGAATTATTATCAATAAAAAAATCAAAAGTTCAATTATGGTTATGGGGGAACACGTATTTGCAATAAATTGCTTAAAATATTTTTATTAAACCGCTAATATACAGTACGCACTATGCAGATTTAAGGAAACCATAATTAAGCCATTTGGCTACATGACCCTAACAATTAAAATAAAAACAATTGGGTCAATAGCGCGTTCACTTTACCGAAATCGAAACTATAAGAAATGAAAACCCATATTCTGTTATTTTTTTATTTTTAGTGTTTGGAAATTCGTTTTTAGTGATTAAAATTATACAGAGAAATCTATGTACTTATAAATAAAACTAGCGACTTACTCTTGCTTCACGTGGATGCGTTTCTATGTGCCAAACAGCAGCCTATGTGTTATTCGAGTGACCCTTTTTTTTTTTTTTAACGTTGGGAAATGCATTTACGCACGACGTGTGGGACTCACCAGCGTAATACAGCCAGTACTACCCACTAAAACCCAACAAAACCTTCCCCCGTCTTAATGGGGCGTCGCAGGATCGCTTACGCATTCAACTACGACGCCCCGACGGCAGGTCTGCCAAAGCAGACCACCACAACCATGGGGTTGCTCCACAGTCCACTCTGCTATCAGAGAAGTACCAGGAGCAGCCCGCATGGTACACCGCCCCCCGAAGAGGGCCACCTCCCACCGCCCACCGAAGTGGGCAACCTCCCTGTGCGTTTCTTAGCTTCGCTACTACTACTGAGCCCCCCCACCACGACAAGGTGAACGCACGTTGGGGGGGTATTCGAGTGACCCTAGTCTGAGTAGTAAGAATAGTACTAAAATCCATCCAAAATCGTTAAGCCATTAGAACGTGAAGGAATAACAATTATATGCACATACAAACTTTCGTATTTATAATAGTAGATATTTTGACTGACACACCACACTACTCATTAATTAATTATCTACACTGTACTAAAGCAGTAACTTAGCGAAATCTGTACACGAAATATTTTATAGACCCCAAAACAATGGTTCTTAAATTATTTGTCTGTTTGTGTGTGCACGTTTCATGCAAAAAGCAATGAACCGATTTAAACGAAATTGGTGAAGTGATAACTTATTACTCGGGTCAGTATTAAGGATACCTTTTACTTCAGGAAAATATTTCTTTCCCACGGGAAAAAATAAAAACTGATTTTATCGAGTCCTCCCTAGAAACCTTCCGCTGACTAAACCTTAAGACATACATCAAAACAATCTAGGAAAAGTTTTAGGCTGGCTTTTTTAAAGCATTAAAATAGCCAACTTTATATATCTATACTAATATTAAATGTGAAAGTAACTCCATCTGTCTGTCCGTCACTTTTTCACGCTTAATCCGCTGAACCGTATAGATGAAACTTGGTATGGAAATATTTTGAGACCCTGGGAATGACATAGGATAGTTTTCATCCCGGAAAATATATCATATATAATGGGGTGGGAGATTGAATGGAAAATGGATCACTTCTCAAGGGAAATATATATTTTTTATTTTTAATAATATTTACCTACTTTAATGTACATTGTAATTTGTACATATATAGATAATGGATATATAGTCTATTCTGTACTTACCTTTAAAAGGTACCTTGGGACGAACCCGAGCGAAGCGAGGGTGAGTCGCTAGTATATTAGAAGTACGTCTATTATTTTACAGGTAAATATTTCTTACGAAATAAGAAAGAAAAGAGGATGTTTAAAGACTTACATATTTTTGCCATACATGTTTTATTACTCTGCTGAGAAGACGTCCGACAAAAACGACTTCGTGAAAATCGAAATAAATTATACTTTATTCAAATAGACTTTTTGGATCGTTGCTTTTTACATTTTTTTTTAATTTTAATAATTACATAACAATACCTATATAAATCCATGAGAATCCTACCACTTGCTCTGAAGGCAGTTCTGCTGAGAAAAGCCATCGAGTAACAGATTGCTCTTTTAAAATAATAATATTACATCAATAAGGAGATGGCTCATTAACAATTTTTTTTTCAGAAAAAAATGTAAACCGTAATGAGAGGTTCTTGCGTTCGATACAAACGCGCGGTAAAGTCGTAGTTTTATATATGTAGCCATATACTCAATGGTCGTAGTGTGCATGCACCCTTATCTTGGAATGTACGTTTTTAAGAGTAGTAAATAATAATTGACGGAGTTGCTTCTATTATCTATATAGCTAAACTCCAAAAGTAATTTACAATAACCAATAACAAGATTTGATATGTAGATCTTATGCTAGTACCAAAAACGAGACACTTCGGAGATCTTTTCTAAAACAATAGATAATAGGTATGTTGATACAGCAACTGTGTTGATATTTCTAATAAAAAAAATAATAACCGACCTCCACACACTAAAAAGTAAAAAATAACTGAATGGGCATTCTCATTTACTTTAGATACCTAATGTGGTGTTTATAGTTGACACATGACTGCATAAAGAATATCAAATAACTAATCAAATTAATACAATGTTACGATATAAAAATACAAAGTTTATATTTGAAGTAATTTTTATTTAATAACCAAGCTCTTAAACTAAAATAATTGCAGTAAATATGATTTTAATTGTAAGATATAACACATTAACTTGTGTTTGGACCTGTTAAAGGCAAGCTACTAATTTCCTTATTTAGTCTTATTTGTTCATTTATAGCTCTCCAAGCATCCTCTTTTTCTTTTTTTGTGATGGGACGCTTCTTTTGTTTAGCAGCTACCATTTTTTTGTAAGTATCAATGCATTCCATATCCACCTGATCCAGCTGTTTTTTTAAATTCAGTCTTATCATTTCTTGCTTGCATAAGCCAATCAGATTTTTGAGATTTCTGCAATTTTCTTTTCTAACAGCAGTCAGTTCTGTCTGACATTTCTTAATTTCTGCTAATATTTCATCATCTGCTGGATTTGTAAGTGGTGGTAAATCTTCTGGATCCAATATACCTTGTTCCACTAATTCTTTTCTAAGACATTTCTCTAAGGTCAAAGAATTTTTATAGTTATTTTTTGTATTTGTGGACTGCTTAATTTTAATATCGGGGACTTCATATGGCATAACATTTTCTTCCATCAAAGCCGACACGAGTCTTTGTGTCAAAGGTCCAGTTATCATATTATCTGAAGATTTCTCCATTTTTTTTCTTAAATTTGATGCATCAGGAGACATTCCAGATGATTTTTGTTTATTAGGATTTGAAGCATTTTGGTCTTCTGCAAGGTGTTCATCAGCCCAAACTTCAGAATAGTGACGACCAAGAGGAGGAATAGGTGGAAGTGTAGTGTTACTACTTTGTACAAGCAAAGATTCAAGAAATTTAATGTCATCTAGTGTCACGGGTGCACAATAGGGATCTACTGAATTCCAAAATTTATATGGAATGTTATTCTTTGGTAAAGGTAATTGGGATAATTCTAACTTGACAGAATTATCAGAATTGACTGTACTATCATTCAGGTAGTTATGTGATGCACCTGATGAAGTATTACTAAAATGTTTTAATTTTGGTACCTTTGGCTGATTTGATATTTTTGCATAATCTTTGGTTTTCACTAACTTATCATCTGGAAATTTACGTTTCATGGAATATTGTAATTGTTTACCAGCTGCTTTACCTTTTTTCTCTCTTTTAGACTCATTGGTATCAATACTTTCTATTTCCCCTTGAAAATATCTAATGCGAAGTGCAGTATTGCACAAAAGGGTCTCCAACTCTAATTGCAATGCATCCAACTCATCCATCCCAATGAGTTCATCAGCCGGTCTAGCTGCAACAGCAGTCAACCTGGGCAAACTTATAGCATTGTCTTGTTGTCTAATATATGGAATAGGACACATTTCAGCTTTTGTTTTGCCAACAGATACTACACTTGGTATTTTTGCAGGTTTATTATAAGGAGAAATTCCGGGACTAGATGGTTTCCCATTATCATGGCCTTTACTACCTAATCTTCCTTTACTATTATGATGCATTCTCTTTCCCATCATTTTCTAAAAAAACTAATTTACCCGCGTAAATACTAATTTGCACATATAGGTATATATAGACAATTAGCGTCAAGTTCTTAATTTCAAAAAGTATTTGTCAAATCTAGCTATAACAAAACAATGCGCCGTTTGTACTTTGTGCTAAGGTTTTCAAGTTTAGTTACAAATGATTACTTTATAACTTTTTGCTTTTAAATCACTATGGTATTATTAATTATCAAAGAAAAACAACAACGATTGCATGATATTTCAACAAGATGGCGTCTTATTTTTTAACAAAACCACAGACTGACTAAAAGTATTGACCTTTTAAATTCTTATATTTTTAAGTGAGAAAAATAAATCGTATTTACATGACATATTAGCGAGATGAGACTATTTGTATGCATAAATTTATTATTTGTAATTGAATAAATTAATAATGACTTGATAACCACTCTTTTATGCCATGTATTTGATTTGGATTTAAATTTTATCTGTGCGCAACCATAAACTCATAGACCAGGAACAACAAGACAAACTATTATTTTGTCCATAGAAATGTCTATTCCTATTGTCTATGAATTAAATCATCACCTTCGTCTGATATCTGTGTTGTGCTTTGCTTCATAGAAATTAGTGTGAAGTTCTTCAAAAATGGACTTGTATTGAGAATTTAGATACAAACTAAACGTCATGCAACTACTCTGAAGTGATAGCTCTTATGTTTACAAAATAATGCAAGCCCTATAACAATAATATGTTCATTTTTTATTAATTTATTCACATATTGCCCTATAGCCGGAGGCTAATGACTTCTCAGAATGGGAGAACCAAATATTTACTGCCCTCTTTGTTGCAATGATACCTTTGATTCAAAGCAGGCACTTTTTGAACATTTATTTAGCATATCTTCAAATCTGATTTGTCCAGTATGCACTGAAAGATTTACGACATTAGAACAATTAGTAGCTCATTTGAAACGTGATTATTGTACATTAATTAATCCTCAGACAAGTGTTATATTTGAAGACAACTCACAAATTGAAACTAATGAGAGCTCTTTAGAAAAAACAAATTTAAAACTCGATTTGAATAATGGTAAGTGATACAAAATGGGGATATAACACTAAATTGATATGAATTTAAAATAATGCAAATTACACCTGGCAGATGTAAAACTTTATGAATTATGTAATAATAAGTCATTATATTTATTTTTTTGTTATTACAGATGATAATCAGGAGAATGACATAGAAAGGCAAATATCTACTTTCCATGCTATAAAAATTAATAAAAATCAAGGCCCAGAAGTAGGTAAAATGTATGTAGAGTTATTAAGTAAACAACTTACAAAGCCTTGCTTACAAACTCAGGAACTGAAGTTAGTGAAAGAAGATGGAGAAAGTCGCTATGTGATTGTGACCAGTGAAGAATCAGCTTTAAATTCTGGTGTTGCAATTGTAACAAAACAGAATAATGATGGTACTATATCCCTGACCACATTAAAAGGTAACTATACTAATATTATTAAGAGGCAGAGTTTGTTTGTTTCTTTGAATGCACTAATCTCAGGAACTGCTAATACAATTTGAAAAATTATTTTTGCATTAGAAAGCTTGTTTATTGAGAAAGACTATAATATATCATGTTACTACTCAAGGGAGCGGAGCATTAATATAATATATAGTCTTTCTATACCATACAAACTGTCAAAACATACCTAGGGGCAAATGTGAGCGAAGCGAGGATGAGCCCTAGTTAATAATAAGAATTATTGTAACTGATTTATTGATGATACAAACACCCATTGCTAGTTAATAATAAAATTTGTTTTAATTCAATTTCAAAAAATATCACACTGGCTAAGTTTATGAATGTTATGATTTTAGATTCTCAAACTACATTGAATATGGAAGACAAAACAGAGAGTGAGAACAATGTAACTTTAGAGACTAGTCAAGAGACAGAAACTGACAAAAGCCAAGAAGAAATCTATAGTTGCAATACTTGTGGAGTATCTTTTTCATCTGTACTTGAACATATACAGAACTACCACAATGATCAAGATGTTGTAGTTGAGGTATAAAATACCTTGAATTAATTTTACCTCAAAAATATTTGATTTACAATTTTTTTATTAATATGTTGGACAAAGAGAGAGTTTTTACTGTTCATTTATTATATGTATACTTATATTATAAAGGGGTAAAGTGAATTTGTGAATTGTGAGTTTGTGACGTTGTAGGAGGTAATCTCTGGATCTACTGAACCAATTTAAATGAAATTTGGTAAGAAGATAGTTTGAGACCCTGGGAAGGACATTAGGATACTTTTTATCCCGGAAATCATCCCTTAAAGGGGTGAAAATGGGGATGAAAGTTTATATAGGGAACCAACCTAGGAGTGAACCCGAGCGAATCAAGGGTGAGTCGCTAGTATTTGATAATTTTAATTTATAGGAACCCTTGGATGACAGTAACAGTGGTATCCCTATAGAATTTGAACAAGTTGCAAATGAGGAGTCATCAGATAAACAAACATCAAGAAGAATGATAACAGAAACTGGGGATATAATTGAAACACCTTTGATTGATGTGGATGATGCTAGTGAAGGTATTTACAAAATTATAGTTGAGCCACAGATCACATAATACTATACTAGTATAGATGCCTCATCCCATACAAAATAATTGGACAGTGCTTATTTGGTCTATTCTTCAGGCTATTTTTGTTTGCTTGAATAGGTAATAGAAGTTGTTGATCCGCAAATAGTTGAACTGTTTTACTTTATAATTATGTGCAAACTAACATATGGTAAATATTGTAAAATTCATCCTGCATTAGATTAAACAAATTTCAGTGATATTAACATTTTTTAACCGTCATAAACAATTCATAGAAAGTAAAAGCGCCATCTGTGAATATACACTACAAACCCATCATCTGATTGCTGATATTTCAATTATTAGTAAAATTACGTAAATTTGATTAACAGGAGCATTATTTAGTTTCTCTTCACTTACAAGTATTTTTTAAAACCTTAATTAAAAAAAATTTTGGGTTTTTTTTTTAATTTAATACAACTTTAAAAACAAATTGATACATGTAACATCATCTGTTGTTATTTGTTTGAACTATTTTTCTTTTGTTCATGATGAGACCCTATAATTCAACTATTTGGTACACTATATACATGGAACACGTAATACAATACAAAAACAATTCAACATTTACATAATATATCAGTAGGATGAAATTGTAAAGAGTTATCTAATATGTTAAATTCTTTTTGTAGTGCAAAGGGAACCCGTGAAGTTTGTGATTCCATTGAAAGAAGAAACTCGGGATAAGCAAGGCCGTGGGTACACGCGTCGTTATGTACAAATAGATAAATTTTGTAACAGTGTAGTTAAGGATATTAAACCTACTGAAGAAGGTAATTATTGTCAATATCAAAAAAATATATGATAAGAATAGAATTTGAATGAACTTTTATTATTGGTAAGTTTTTTTAAGTTTAATTTGAAGATATATGCATATATATTTTTTAAATGTATAAATATTCTTTTTGAAATATATATATATATATATATATATATATATATATAGTAATAGCTTTATTTCTTTCTGCATTAATGCATATATAAAAGTTGTATAATTTTGGAATGGCTTACCTTTACTAAAAATTCACCCTACGCCATTGTAGACTATATATAATTAGTTAAATTCATACTAAAGAATAATTCAAATAAAGAATAAAGTAGTATATAGGTTGTATAAATGTTAAAATTTAAAAGTATTCATAATATTTTCATATATATGTATGTCATTAGGTTAGATACTTTAAAAACGTCATTGAATAATGACATTTATATGTATATTTTAAAAATGTAAATTTTTTTGGGTGGAAAATTAATAATAGTGTGTTAATTTTTTTACAGAAAACAATGGTCCATACCATAAGGTAGTAATAAAAGAATTGCAAACTACAAAGGGTGAAAAGATGAAGGTGTACAACTGTATGTCGTGTAATATATATGTATCGTCTCTGGCAGAATTCAATCAACATCCTTGTAAAGTTTGTAAGTATTGTCTTACTCTAACATGTAATTATATTATTAAGAAAAATAAACTAAATCGTCTGATAGTTTCGAACCAGGATGGCATAGAAAGAGTGTATTTTGTATGACTTAAAATAAAAAATAAGGGTGGAGGGGGCTTGGGTTATAATCCTGGGAGGCTCAACAGTAGAATGGTTGTGAAATCCTGGCCTATATGGTTAATGAGGTATTTAATTTCTTCATACAATAACTAAAAAGTGTATTATATTTTTTTTTTTTTTGATAATTGAAATTAATCACATAAGGCTGATAATATGTGCAGTCTATTATTGTTATATCAAGAATAATTTTTTTTTAATTTTTATTTTATAATCATGGGCTATAAATTATTTAATATATAAGTATATTTATGTATATCTAATGTATCTACATTCTACATGAAAAATTATTTCCATGTTAGAAGCTATTGAAATATTTCTATTTTGAATTATTATACATATATTGTGGAATTATTGTTTAAAATGTTATGATTTGTTTCAGTAAAGTACCCATGTTCACAATGTCCTGTAGCCTACGAAAATTCAAAATCATTGTGTGCACATATGAAAGTACACAAAACAAAAATGGGTATATTTTCTCAATATTTTATTATGCATTATATAGCGCAAAATGCGCTCCGTGTGTTTAATTGCCTTATATAAATGACGTTTTTAAATTATATCAATGAGATCATATTATCTATACATTTATACAGATAAATAAAATTGATGTGTCTGTTTGTAATATGAAATTAACAGCTTTTTACTAAATTTATATGAAAATATATAAGGTACTTATAGTAATTTTTTTTTTAATTTTTTGTGTCTGTCTGTTCTTGTTTATTTGTTCTGGCTAATCTCCGAAACGGCTGGACTAATTTTGACGGAACTTTCACTGGCAGATAGTTGATATTATAAGGAATAACTTAGGCTACTTTTATTTTATAAAAACAATTGGCTTATAAAAATATAACGTATCCAAGCGAAGTGAGGCTAAGTCGCTAGTTAAAAGATAAAAAAATAATCATCGCAATATAGTGTTATTTTTGATTGAAGTAGAAATTTCAATTCTAAATAAAGTTAAGGAACGTTTATCTCATTATTAAAATCTTATTATGAACGAAAACATAACCAGTATCATGTGGTGTGAAAGACGACTAAGTGTTATTTTTAATATTCTAGAAAAATAGAATAAATATTCCAACTTCAGTTTTATTACCACCATTCTGCATCTCTAACCGTCCTACACTACACTCGTGCTAAATAAAAGACTTTCCTAACCCATATCTTGCGAAAATCGTAATCTTTTTCCTAGGACAAACACATTATGTAACTTTCGACTGTTTAATTTAATGATTATTTTCCTTTTCTACCGTTTATCCTGCGGGACCTTTTATTTTCCTTGAAAGTCAGTTCGGAGATTGCTAGGTTTAAAGATTACACAGACAAATATATTTTTTAATTGTTGTTAAGACCCTAAAACTGTGCAAATAACTATATAAACTCTATATGGTAAAGTTACTTTATAAAAAATTAATAATATAAAAAAATTATAATCATATTTAATTTTACAGGTTAATAATGTAATGTAGAATTTATTTCAGGAACCACCTACATCGTACCGGATAAGTTTGAATGTGAAACATGTACCACCGTGTTCTCTACAAGCAAGTCCTTGAAACTTCATAAAAGAATGCATGACCCTATCAAGTTAGTATGTATTTATGCTATTTATAACTATAAATATGTTGGGACATTAACACAGAGCACCATCTAGTTCCATGGTAAGCTATGAGGCTTGTGTTATGGATATCAGATAGTTGGTACACATATCTAATATATTTAAACGAGCAATTCTTGTATATTTATTTATACCGGCGATCTCGGAAACGGCTTTAACGATTTCGCTGAAATTTGGTATGTGGGGGTTTTCGGGGGCGAAAAATCGATCTAGATTAGTCTTATGTCTGGGGAAACCCTTGTTTTAGAGTTTTCATGCGGTTTTCTTTCGCGATATTCCCCGCAAAATATGGTCGCTAATTTTGCACGCTCCGGCATAAGCATTGTGGTCAAGCGGCCAAGGCGCAAGAGTGACAATCACAGGGTCCGGGTTCGAATCCCGGTTGCATACAAAATTTACACATTTGTTTTTTTTTATTTAAAAAATGCGATATAACAAAAAAGAACTCCGAGCGAAGCTCGATCGCCCAGGTACTATAACTTTAAATACATATGTACATATTATAAATATAAATAAATTTTCTGTGTATCATAGATCTCGTCCAATAGAGCCTCCAGTAGAAACACCAGAAGGCACGGCGGCGAGTGAGGACAAGTTCCTATGCTCTGTATGCGACAAGCTCATCCCCATGGACTACAGGACAATACACCAGAACTCCCATAAAACAACCAATAAGATGAACTGCGACATATGCAATAAGAAGTTCCACTCGAGAGAATATTTGGATATGCATATGAGTGTACATAATTTGGATAAGGTAGAGTAATTGTTTTTTTTATTGTCTACTAGCGACTCACTCTTGTTTCCCTCGGGTTCGTCCCTAGCTTGCTTCCCCATACAAACTTTTATCCCCATTCTCACCCCCTTAAGGGATGATTTCCGGGATAAAAACTATTTCACTCACTCACTTTTCGTATGATGAGATTTAAAAAAACTTATTTTAGTAAAAAAGAAACTTTTAATTTTCTTCTATACAAAACGTCCTGACAATAACAAACACAAAACAAAGAATTATCCAATTTGGTGCAATCGATCCGAAGCTATGCGCTATTTGTATAGAAAATACTAAATATATGTACATTTTATATACATAGGTATAGAAAAATAGGTAAGTACTTTAAAAATAAAAAAATACGTCCCTAATACTTGAGAAATGATTGATTCCCCTTACAAACTTCCACTTCCCTTTTCACCCTTAAGGGATGATTTCCGGGATAAAAACTGTCGTAGGTATACCCTTCCAGGATCTCCAAATATCTCCACATCAAATTTCATCTAAATCGGTTCGGATTTAGCGTGAAAAGGTAACAGACTGACGGAGTGGAGTTACTTTCGCATTTATAATACCTATTAGCATGAATAGTATGAATGTACGTGATATGCGGTTTTTGTTTATATTTTTTCATGGTACTTCAATGAATTGAATTAATAAATTATAATTTCATCTTAATTATAAATTACTAGCGACTCACCCTCGCTTCTCTTGGGTTCGTTCCCAGCTTGCTTCCCCATACAAACTTTTGTCCCCATTCTCACCCCCTTAAGGGATGATTTCCGAGATAAAAACTATTTCACTCATTCACTTTTCATATCATGAGATTTAAAAAAAATCTTATTTTATTAAAAAAAATTCTTTGAATTTTCTTACATACAAAACTTCCTGACAATAACAAACACAAAAAAAAAAGAATTATCCAATTTGGTGCAATCAATCCGAAGCTATGCGCGTACATACATACATTTCGGTGATTCATTTTTATTTATATAGATAAATATTCATATTCACAACTGACAACACGTATTGTACATATGACAAAAATGCTTAATTAGTGAACTGAACTACAATTAATTATTATTAATGATTTGTGCTGTCATCTTAGTTTGATGTCTATAAATCATCACAGAAGCTACGAAATCCCACTAATATTATAAATGCGAGAGTTTATTAGTAACTTTTTTTTTACTGTTTCACGGTATAAGGGCCTATGCACACGATAACTTGTAACGCACCGTAGTTGCGCGTTCTACATGAAATGTATTCTCTGTTGACGCACGATTGTTAAGCTTTTGTTATTTAACACAAACGCAAATGTCTGCATTTTTTAAGTTTATCATATTATTTTCATGTTACACGCATCGTCGGTGCCTTTATAAAACGTGGTGTACACAGGCCGTATTAAAATCAGTGAAAAAAACGCGCAGATGACGAAAATTCATTTGCCCGCTTTTAAAAATGGGGTGTGCATAGATCCTAACTACTAAACGGATTTCAGTGGAATTCAGGATAAAGACAACTTTTATACCCTTTATTCTCTCTGGCTATCCTTTATCCTCTATCTAGCACACGGAGCTATAAACAAAAACTGTTAGATAAATAATCTTAATCGATTTTCAGGTAATTGTAGGCAAGCAAGACAAATCCCTTCCATACATGTGTTTGTACTGTAACAGGAAATTCGCGAGGCCACATGAAAAAGTTAAACATGAAAGGATACATACGGGTAACTAAATGTGAAACATTTCTGTAATTTAGACATTTGAAAATATGCTATTTTTTGTTTTTAATTACATTGATACAATTAAGCATTTACAATTATTGTTGTCTGTTGCTAGAGAGGTGGGCGTTAAAAATTGTGACTCAATTGTATAACTAATGCAGCTATTAACATTGAAATTGTTTTTGTTTTTATATGCTTAAATAATGTTCTTAATAAATAAATAAAAAGAAAGCAGCCATGAGGACTGCCAACAGACGTGAAAACTTAAAACTGTAAATGAACTTTTGTTATTTTTGGGTATTGAAATAAATCGTGTGATCTTAAATTTAAATTTGTAAATTGAAACTGTTTACATTTATCTGGTTTTGACATCTATCGGCACTGTGAGTGTTGGCCTTAACACGTCACGTGACCGTGTCGATGACGACTTACATGAATTTACTCCTGATCCAAACCTGCCTATATAAGTTTTCACTTCAATAAAAACCTCTGATTAGATATAATTTTCATTTCACTGTGCAGGAGAGAAGCCCCACTCGTGCGAGATATGCGGCAAGGCGTTCCGCGTGTCCTACTGCCTCACGCTGCACATGCGCACGCACACCGGCGCGCGCCCCTACGCCTGTCCGCACTGCGACAAGAGGTTTTTTTTACATTAACACACGGCACCATCTAGTTCTATGGTAAGCTACGAGGCTTGTGTTATGGATAACAGATAGTTATCTATATAACTTTAAATACATACATATTATAAATATAAACACCCATGACTGGAGTACAAACATTCGTGTTCATCACACAAATGAATGCTTCAGCGGGACTCGAACTGCCAGCGGTCGCGAGTTCGAGGCCCGCTCGCTTCGCATTTATTTGTGTGATAAGCACGAATATTAGTACTAAAGTCATGGGTGTTTATATATATGTATGTGTAGTGTATCAACTATCTGGTACTCATATCACAAGCCTCGTAGCTTATCATGGAACTAGATGGTGCTGTGTGCTAATGTCCAACATATTTTATTTATTTATTATTTACTCTTATTTTACCTCTCCCCCTTATTTTTTTAACGTTGGGAAATGCATTTACGCACGACGTGTGGGACTCACCGGCGTAATACAGCCAGTACTACCCACTAAAACCCAACAAAACCTTCCCCCGTCTTAATGGGGCGTCGCAGGATCGCTTACGCATTCAACTACGACGCCCCGACGGCAGGTCTGCCAAAGCAGACCACCACAACCATGGGGTTGCTCCACAGTCCACTCTGCTATCAGAGAAGTACCAGGAGCAACCCGCATGGTACACCGCCCCCCGAAGAGGGCCTCCTCCCACCGCCCACCGAAGTGGGCAACCTCCCTGTGCGTTTCTTAGCTTCGCGCCCGGTTGGATTGCCGGGCACTACTGAGCCCCCCCACCACGACAAGGTGAACGCACGTTGGGGGGGGAATTTTACCTCTCCCCTAACCTTACCTATTTTGACCTAAGAAATGAAAAATACATTGATAAAGTTATTATTATAGGTTTAAGGCCCATAGTGTGTACAATCACCACCTCTTAACACACTCGGAGGTGCGCGCGTACAAGTGTCCGTTCTGCCCCAAAGCGTTCAAGACGTCGGTGCAACTCGCCGGCCATAAAAACTCTCATACGAAACCGTTTTCTTGCCAACAGTGTAATAGGTGAGTTATAACTTCTACCACAGATGTGAATGCTAAATTGTTATCGTGTATACAAATTCAATAGCAATGTTAAATGATGAATATATGTATAATTTACTTTGCTTGCCCATACAAACATTCATCCCCATTTTCACCCCCTTAAGGGATAATTTCCGGGATAAAAACTATCTTATGTTCTTCCCAGGGTGTCAAACTATCTTTTTACCAAATTTCATCTAAATCGGTTCAGTAGTTTCGGAGCCCATTCGGTACAAACAAACAAAAAAACAAATCTTTCCCCTTTATAATATTAGTAGTATAGAAGAACGAACTTACCCTCGCTTCGCTTAGATGTGTCCCTAAGTCTTTTTTGTATTTATAATTTTATATACAGGTAGTCCAGTGGTAACGCATTTTAGAAATATGTATTACGGGGCTACCACTGCCCACGAAATAAAAATTATATATACATGTATGTATATATATATATATATATATATATATATATATATATATATATATATAGTGTATATATTATTTTATTTACTATTAGGGAAACATACAGTGTTACAACACAAACAAGATATAACAATAAAAATAGTACATACACCAATAAAGTTTCCACAAACAAACAATTCATACAGTAAAAGAGTAGAGATTTGATAAAACAACAACACTTGAATTATGTTAGCTGATATATATATATATATATATGTGTGTGTGTGTGTGTGTGTGTGTCAGGCCGTTCGCGTCGCTGTACGCGGTGCGCGTGCACATGGAGGTGCACGCGCGGCAGAACAGCCTGAAGTTCGCGTGCACGCGCTGCGGCGCCAGCTACGCGCGCGCCTTCGCGCTCAAGGACCACGTGCGGCAGGCGCACCGCGACCTGCCCGCACAGGTCTCCTTTTTTCTTTTTTTTTACGGGTTATGTGGGGCTCCAACCGCGCGAACATGGTAAACGCACGGCAGGCTACCCACTAAAAACCACACGAAACGCCACTGTCGCCATACGGCTGGGGTCGCAGGTATCCGAATTCCTCTGTAATCCGGCACAGGTGATCTACTCGCTATTATAAAATGGCTATATAATCACGTTAATTAGTTGGTAACACTGTTTAGTTTTTCTCTCTTATCATGAGCCGTTCTGGCGAGATTGAGTAGCACATTCATTCATCTAAACTTTCGCATTTATGATAGTAGAAAGATGTAACAATATTCAGGTTTCGTTATCAGGTATATATAGAATTAGAGATCCACACATCCTCATCTATACATATAATACAATAATTGTAACTAAGCCGAATCTGTACGTTAAATATTTCTTGGAAGATCTTATTGAAATAGACATTATTATCGATACAGACGCCGAATCTATAGTTTTTAAAATTTTTGGCTGTTTGTCTGTCTGTTACCGCATCACGGAAAAACCACTGGAGGGATTTTGATGAAATTTGGTATGATGATAGCTGGTTATCCGGGTCAACATATAGGATACTTTTTACCGCGGGAAAATATTTCATTTCTGAGAAAAAATACAATAAACTGCAACGTAAGAGTATAATAATTGACGACACGTTTGGCTCAGTTTGTACTTGCTGTGCCAGGGGTGCCTTGTGTGTCACGGGTTCGAGTTCCGCTGGGAGCATTCATTTGTGTGATCAACACGAATGTTTGTATTCCAGTCATGGGTGTTTATATTTATAATGTGTATGTATTTAAAGTTATATATGTGTAGTGTATCAACTATCTCGTATCCATAACACAGGCCTCGTAGCTTACCATGGAACAAGATGGTGCTGTGTTAATGTCCCAACATATTTAATCACTTAATCACATTTAATCACTAATAATATGTAAAACCTAAGAATTTGTTTTTTGGTCATCTGAACGCGGGCGAAGCCGCGGGCAATTCTATAAATGTATATATTTAATAAAATGAAAAATAATGAATTATAAGAATAATACTATATTCTTTTGTAATTTGTAAGCATTGTCTAATTATCCGTGTTTTCGCAATATACCTACTTAGGGTTTTCCCGAATTCGGTTTATCAAATAATCCTACGACATATTATACATTATTAGGGTATTTTAACATTATAAGTTGTTTGAAAGCATGTGTGTTTTACAGTTGACTCTTAAAGATGAAGAATGGATGGTGCAAGAGAACGCGGACCTAGACTCGGATGGAATGCAACTGAACAAAGAGTTGCCGCAAGAGGTTAGTTTTGTGTTCTTATTTGAAGTAACGATTATTATTTTTTAATAATATTGAAAGAAATAAGGTATTTAATTCGGTTTTATGTTTTTCTATGTATTTTATTTTTAGGCATTATGTTCCCCAATTATAAACCGATTATCTTTTTTAAATTGAATTAGTTACCTACATATCAAGAAAAAAATACTACTACTTTTTTGCTGAAAATATTTCTTTATTTACTCTATTCGATCCCACGGGAATCTTACATTTTTCCGGGATAAAAAGTAACCTATGTGCTATTCCAGACTTTTATCTATTTTCTTTTCGTGATTGTTTTAGAAATTTTATTGCTTTTTTTTTTCTTTTTTTCAGATAAATGAATTGGGTATGAGTTCAAGTGAACTGATTGTTCCATAGATTTATTGTAACCACAATGTATCGATATTGTATAGTGTTTAATGATTCAACCAAGCAAACGACGGCTTACTTATGTCATATATTTTTAAAGAATAAGAGCTAGCGGCGCCATTTTACTGGCTTTCTTGTTGCTTTGCCATTTATTTAACACTTTAGTCAGTAAGATAAGTGTAAATAATTTTTTGTGAAAAAATAACATATCAAAATGTGTTAAAAAATATAAAGGCTACGTTCTTTAAATGAACGTTAATTAAAACATTTTTTCCACGAGATCAATAAAACGAGTTGAAGGTCATATTAAAATTTCATAAGTAAGATATATAAGGTATGTAAAGTTTGCAACAAAAACGTTGCTAGCTCTTGTACTAATATTTTATATTATAAGTATAGGTATTTCTTTTTTATACAGATAATATTTTTCGTAATAATTTGTTTATAAAAAAAGCAAATTTTTTGCATAGTGTACGTTTAGTCGGCTGTTATTAACGGTAATTAAATGTTTATTTTACCGTAATTAGAAAATATATAAAATTATTTGTTCTAATTAAATAATGTGCTGTTTAAATCATTAAATTATATAATTTAGAAACGTCAGAAGAATTTTAAATATCTTCCATAATATGCTCCATAATAAAATAGCTTTTATACAAAGGATTGTTACAATTTAGATGTTTTAAGTACTCTATAATAAAAAAAGGTGCCTTAGTCGACATTTCTTATCAAGAATTTCAAAATCTTCTCCAAAGTTCATAAAAGTCTCATATTAATATTACTGAGCTAAATATATAATAACGATATAACGATCAATATTTAAATCGGCCTATTTCTTATTTCAACGGACGTATGTTCAAAAATTTCAACTATTTTTAATGTTGATGACAAACATTCTAGGAAACGATCTGGGCCGTCATATTTAGATAAACTCTGTCAGTTTTGATTCGCATATAAATAATTTATAGCCTAATGTAACGTTATATTGAGTTATAGTCTAAGAGCCTATATTTTTTATTTTATTATAATATGTATTGTAGTAATATATATTGTTTTTTTTAAATGAAACTTCTTTACGTGCGCTATGAATACGAAAAAAAGGATTGGTGTTACGGTTTTTGTAACGGAAACTGTTGCTACGGAAGTGAATAAATAGTCAAGTTAAAATTAAATTTAAATTATTATATGATTATTTCAAAGAATAAATTAAATAAAAATAGATATGTATAAATAATACTTCTTCCATTTATTTTTAAATGAGCGATGGAATCATATGAAATGAATATTGTTAAAAAAAATTATTTACTTGAAATATTTTTTTATACATTACAAATATATATTTTTTTCACAAAAAAAAATTGCATCGCTGTATTATTATTTATTTTATTGGAGTACCCTATACCTATAATTTTATTGAATCATTAAATTTGATTGAAAATTAAATTTTATCTGGTCACCATCTGTACTATGTGAATAATTAAATATTGTTGTCCTTTTTAAATCGTTAATTTTTTTTATTATCTCTCCTATCCCAATTATTTGAAACATAAATTGAACTTCATACAAAAGTACTGATAACCCAGAGAAGTTTCACTTCTTGCGCGTGTACACATTGATACACGCACTCTTATATACATACTGTATATTACTTTATAATATGATTTCATACTATTTAATACTTATCAATTGATCGTAACTGAAGGAGCTCTCAAAGTATTTATATGAATAACTGAAATTTTTGATAAGAAATTATAAATTAACGATTTATATCTCAAACGCTCGGCTACCAAAGCTTATTTTAATTTTATTACTTTAAGCGGATGTTTTGTACGTTTTATATATCTGACATAAGTGAGCTTGTCCCAATTTAGATAATCAATTTTACCGACTGTATTTTGATTGTATTATTATAAGGGACTTCCAATCAAAGTTTTAATGTATGGTATACATATATTATGTAGGCAATAAATCAATTTTACAATAATACTTGCTTTGATTTTACTCCTAAGTCAGTCACAAATCTAAACGTATAATAAAATTCAGAGTTGAATATGTACATTAAATATTTTTTGAAAAATCTTATTGAAATAGTCATTATTATCGACATAGCCGAATCTATAGTTTTTAGATTTTTAGTCTGTCTGTCTGTTACCGCACCACGGAAAAACTACTGGAGGGATTATGATGAAATTTGGTTTAATGATAGCTGTTTATCAGGGATCATCATCATCTGTCTATCTATACTATTATATATAATATAGCATACTTTTTACTGCGGGAAAATATCTCATCTCTGAGAAATCTAACTAAACGTTAAAACTTCACGAGGTACGAACCCGAGAGGAGCTGGGGTGAGTTGCGTTAATAATAATTTTTAAATTCTTATCAGACAGTTCTAAAGCTTTTTTAAAATAAGATGATTACAGTAATTACGACCCATTGTAATTGTAATATTGCAAACAAAGAGCGGTAATAAAGTGGGTTATTTTGCGAAGAAAGACAGGTAGCTGCTATAAGTTCTGAAGTAAAAAGTCTCAAAATTAAATTGTTTTATACAATTTTATTTATTTAATACAGAATACCCAACTAACTATTATTTTACAAATTGGAATTTACAATATTCTTATTTAACATTCATTTTTGGTACACAGCTGTATAGTGGTATTCCTAATAATTATTGTCTTATATAAACTTTTCTAATTATCCATTTAAATGAACAAAGAAATAACATTTTTAGTATCTATTCAAATAAGTATTAAGTATCACATTTTCGTAATGTTCACGTCTTAGAATTATTAAATCTATTAAAACTAACTTATTATCTTTCATATCTTTACAAATAAACAAATATTATATTATGGAATAAAATAAGCGTCTTTAAGTCAATATTATTTTTTAAATATCACGATTGTCCGTTAGTCCACTCTCCCTCCATCCTCCACACTGAGAAAGCGTAACTTAACTTATCCTGCGCGAGGTACTTGCCGTGTTCACTGCCCGAATCGCTGCCGACGTCGCTATTCGATGTAGATTCACTATTGGATAGTATCTGATATAAGAACTCTATATACTGAGTGGCCAATTGTAGAGTCTGTATTTTTGATAACTTATCACTAGGTAGAGATGGAATAATTTGACGCAAACTTGCAAAAGCTTCGTTGAGACTTTGCGTGCGCTGTCTCTCCCTCACATTAGCCATCACTCGTTGGATCTGTATCTCCTCGAATGACTGAGTTTTCTTTCGCGAGGATTTTGATGAACGTTTTCTTGTTCTTCTTTGCTCTTCATTTTCATCGCTGCGCTCTTCTGTGGACGAACGGTACACTGGTTCGCCAACTTTGGGAAGTTCAGTCTGTTCGTAATAATTTGAAACTCTATCTTGTGAGTTTGAATCGTCAAAGTAGAAACTTCGAGAGAACTGTCTTTGTCGCTGATCTGCTACGTACATCTGGTCGTAGGGAGGATACTGAGGTTGCTGATATTCTCTATCGTCTCCGTCGAATATAACGTTCGTTGGCCACGGCTGCTGTAGTTGCGGCCTTTCGGAGCCATTGCTCAGGTCCATTAAATGCGTAGGCGAGGATGGCGCGAAGCCCTGCATCTCCGAATCTCTTTTCACTTCCACCGGCGCGTAGCCGTAAAATCTCTCCTCTTCGTCGAGATACTCTGGATCCTCACGTTTGATGGGCACTCGATTATCACAATTTTCGTAACTCATAATTATTCGAGGTTCGAAAACCGGAAAATTATAGTTGTGTAACATGCGCACGATGTGGACACAAGCGCTTGCACTTACTGACTGAGCGTCACGCAGAGCGATCCGCCCCTATCCGTCCCTTCATTGACAAGATACAAAAAAATAACCATTTCCACTACGCGGGCTCCGATGCGCCTCCCTCCAATGCCACCTCCTGCCCGCCACCGCGCTATGGCGAGCGAGCGACAGGGACAGAGATATAAAGCCAGTCGACCGTTTTGTGTTTATCTTGTCCGTCATCTCAGAAACGTATTTACTGATTATACATAGATTTAGATATTGACTTGGTCGCCATAGCTGATCGCATCGGTAAATGTGCATCCTGTGAGACTTAGTATCATCTGATACCTACACGAGTGTACCTATTAACGTCGTGATTTAAAACTTACTTAAATGGACCTTAATTTTGTTATTTAAAATCTATTCTACTAAGAATATTTAATAGAAACTAACAAAATAAAGAAACCTAGAAGTTTGTATTCCTTTTTTGACCTATATAAAAACAAAAATTCGGCGCCACCCTTGCTTGTAAGTTTTTATATCGTCTCGTCGCGCGGTCGCCCGTTAGGTACTAAAAATAACCTTGACGCAATCAGAGAAGGATCCCACGGGCAGACCCGCTGCGATCATGCCTTTACAGGAATAATATAAATATTTAATATACATATTTGTCTAGCGCTCGACAGATTGCTCTGGCGGGAGTCTGGACAGTGTCATATGTAAGTCGGTTCCACTGAAAGATCTATTGATTATGTTAGTCTATTAGAATTATAAGTAACTTTTTATTAAGAAATTAATATTAGATAATAATAATTACAAGGGTCATTTGCACTAAACTAATTTTTACCTACAGCTTGACGAAAGGTATTTATTAGATTTAAACAACATTAAGAATTAGTTCCGTTTTGTTAAGTAACCCTAAATATACCTATTTGATACATTCTTATTATGAATATTACCTATAATTTTGTAGATAGGTAACATTCTCATATTTCTTTATCTGTTTAATGTATTAATAGGTATATACCTACAGTGATAGCTTTCACAAATAGGTGCGCTCAATTTTAATGAACTGTATAGAAGACACGTTTTATGTAAAAGTTCATCCCATTGCCCATTATTATGGGCAATCAAATCAAATGAATACATATAAAACTTTTTTGGTTTGATAGGTAAAATTTCGCCCCTCCCATAAGTTATTTACCTCGTGTTATATAAATTGCGTAAGATAGTTTAGATACCTATAGACTAATGAAATTTTATTAGATTTAAAAATGCAAAATAAATTATCTACTCAAAGCCGTTATTAGGCGTTAACCGTATTTTGAAATAGTACTACCTATCTACGAATCACCTGTGTAGGTAGGTAGGTACATATGTACCTGCTAACTGCTATAAAGTGACTCTATATATTATTTTAATTTCTAGTTTTATGAACACAGAAGATAGATATTTAAAAGGAAGGTTTTATCGCTATTATCCAATAAAACTATAAATCGAAAATCATAATTAGTACCTACCGTAACGTATATCAAAAGTTCTCGTAGGCGTAGCTATTGTCTATATATAAATTGTTTTTGTTCAAGTTGAAGGGTTATTTAACTTATAGTATATTTTGGGAATAATTACCAACCGCAGCAGTGTTCGTCACCGATGAGATATTAATAGGATCATTATTCAATACATATTTTTAATTTCGGTTAGACGAACAGGCACATTTGTTTTCAAAAGTTGAAAGCTTAACGAATTTTACTTAACTTACTGATTCATGTAGGAGGTAATGTTTTGCTAATGTAAGTAGGTATATTGTTTGTCTGTCTATACCTACATTTAATTAAGTTCTAAGTTAAATCTGTACATTAAATATTTTTTGGAAAACCTTATTGAAATAGTCATTATTATCGATGCAGAGGCCGAATCTATATTTTTTAGGATTTCTGTCTGTCTGTTACCGCATCACAAAAAACTACTGGAGGGATTTCTATGAAATTTGGTATGGTGATAGCTGGTTATTCGGGTCAACATGTAGGATACTTTTTACCGCGGGAAAATATATAATTTCTGAAAGAAAATACAAAAAACTGGTTAGAATAAACCACGACGATACTACCTATATGTATATTTTAGCAAGGTATCTTACTAATTAAGGCAAAAACTATTAATAACAATAGCGCTATTTTATTTGGTTTTTGGTCATCTGAACGCGGGCGGAGCCGCGGGCAATGCTAGTTACAATATAATGTCGTTCAGTAACTAAAAATAATGTATACCTATTCATAATACTTAGATAGGTGTGTACTTCACATCATAAATTAAGCTTTTAACTGTATTTTTCCTACCAAGTTACATGTAAGATTCGTTGGATACGTCAGTTAAGTAAAATTTCCTTTGTCATAAAGAAAAAATAATTGTGATGTGATATTGCCATTAAAATGATCTATAGAGTAAGTGCGGCATATATGAACCACCATAAGGATTTTCTCAAATAAAACTCCGAATTTTAAAGTGTAATCAGTATTGTTTATTTTAAACAGTTCAATAATTATTTGGTTCCAAAGAGGATTAGTAAAATTCTTAAAAAACATGAACATCTTAGAAATAATGAACATTTTCTAAAATATGTTATTTTTATGACCTTGCAAAAAGTGAACATAATATGGACCATGGTCAAAATAACAGAAAAAAGTCGTATTACTTAAAATTAAATAAGTATTACGGTTTAAACTAATCATTGGTACCAAATTTGCACACATAGAAGTCAACCATATCTTCTATGCCATCACGCTCTACATAAGCCATTCGGTTATAAGGTTCACATCGGATCTATTTCTTTCCATGAACATCTTGTTTAGAACAATGCAAATCATAATACAAGCATTTAACATTTCTATTTTGGGAACAATCAGGACTTTCATTTGTGCTTTTGATCGAATAATCATTCTTATCAGAACTTTCAGGAGATGATTCATTATCTTTTGAGATCTTTCTTTTCTTCTGGGCTTCTTTGGCGCTTTCTTTAATTTATTTTTTACATTCAATGGTTTCTTTTTCTTCAATTTTTCTGTTTCTTCCTTCCTCTTTATTCTTCTTTTCATCTTTCAATTCACTCGGTTACCTACGTTATATTATTTTCTCCGAAGTTCATGGTTAGTAATATCACTAAGTGACTGGTGTTCTATTTTTGTTAAAAGCCCTTTTTGTTTTTTCGTACAGCTTTAATTGCACATTCTATTGCATTTTGTCCCACGCTTGTCTGCTCTTCTCTTCTGTTTAAGATGTCATTCTGAATTATAAAAATCAAACACAAATGACTGTTTGTAATATGGACCACTAGTCCATATTCAAAACATACCGGTGGTCCATATTGTAATTTCGAGGTTAATATTATTGTTTAGAAAATTGTAATAACTAAAGGAAGTTACAATTTAACTTGAATAATTGTAAAAAAAACTCACCTTTTCCCTGGTTTAGTCCACTGTCACTTCGAGTAATATTTGTTGAAGTTATGATCTTACACAGTCAGCTAAAAATTACATCGCGAGCTAACGAAAAATGGTGTCCGTCAATTCGCGCGTGCAAGCTGCCTCACTGCAAGCGGCATATATGACACTTTTTACCGCGGGAAAATATGAGATATTTCTGAGAAAAAATACAAATACTGCAATGTAAGGGTATACTAATATGTAAAACCTAAGAATTTCGTTTTTGGTCATCTGAACGCGGGCGGAGCCGCGGGCAATGCTAGTAATAAATATACCTACCTATCACGCAGCTGTCGTAAAGTTAGGTACCGAACAGCTGAAAATCAGCATGAAAGATGCGTTCCTCTATCCTTTTTTAATTTAGCCTTTCAATACATAGTATATGTAATTTAAACATTCGCAAAACATACTTTAAAAATTAAATACACTGAAAGCGTTTACAACAAATTTCCTGTTTAATGTGCATGAGTCACATTTTCAACATCTGCTAAAGACTCGGGGGAATCTCTAAGCATTTTGCTTCATTCATAAAATGAAATGCTCTTACCGTTATCTAAAAGTAAAGTTTCTCACGTTTTAAGTTTTATCCTGATAAGGTTTATGAATGAACAGATGGTAATTGTTGGTAGTGTTTGTAAGTAATTAACAAGGCAATTGTCACGACTGTGAAAAAAATTTGTACTATTTCTTCACGATTCGAAAATTGTTAATAGCTAAAAAATATGTTTTTATATCATTTATGTTTCTGTTAGACAGTTTGCAGGAAAAGTACCTGATCATATAAATATGGGCTAATAAACTAGATAGTAGGTACTGGATACTGGATGCTTCCAGTAGGTATTTTTTATATATTTACTAGGGACTTAGGTACTCTTGCTTCGCGGTGCGTACGTTTTAAATGGGTATAAATAATAGTTATTGCGAGTGTACCTTAGAAGAAAGACTTATGCTAATGCAGATTTTTCTGTAGGCCCTTTTTAAGATCTACAAATTTCTAGTACATTTTTTTGATGTATCTCTTAAAGATTAGTCAGCGTTATCCCTGTAAATGTCTAAGGACGACTCTACAGAATCGGTTATGATGTTTTTCTGAGGAAAGGAAAGATTTTCCTGTAATAACAGGTATTCTAAATCTTGAGCGGCGGGCGTAACAAGTTATCACTACACAAAATTTAATTAAAATCAGTTTAGTACTTTTTGCGTGAAATGCACACACACACACAAACAGACAATAATTTTTGTTAACTATTTTCTGGGGGTCTATATTCTGTACGTATTACGTTACAGTCATTTTTTTTTAAATATTTCATGTACAAATTTCGCTAACTTACTACATATTTTAATTTTTTTTTGTATTATGTAGATGTAAGTAATAACGTGATTTTTAAAATGAAAAAAAAATGCATTCAAAAATGCAAGCGAAAGCTTTTTATATTTTTTTATAATTTGTTAAAAAAAACATGTTATTCAATTGTTCATTTTTTTATTTTATAGGCAAAAGCTATATAACGCAGTTAAAGAAGACTGCACACCTTGAAAGTGACGTGAAATGAAATGCCTTAATCACGTTTTTATTTTAAGTTTAAAAATAAATTATTATTGTCCAATTCTTCTCATGGTTAAAAGTCATTATGTTACCGAACTGAATAAATTATTAGGATAGTACCTAAATCGTAATTTTATTGATAAATCAAAAAAAGTTACTAACACTTCAAGACTTAGTATAGTAGGTAGTTATTCTATCGTGATAATGGTGGTTAACTGTATAAGAAAGATATCTGCCCGATTTCACCAACATCCCATAAGCAACCACCTACGTATGAGAACCCTAGCTAAAAATTCCCCTAAACTAGCCCCTAAATTAAATTTCATTTTACCATCGTCAGAGCCAGTATTATTATGGTGAAACAAAAACTGTCCCCTCGCAGCCCCCTAACCATGCTTAGGGGATCTCTTAAACTTAGGTGACGTTGGTGAAATAGGCCAATCATCATTTTCACAGTTCCTAGGTCTTTTCATGTAAATAAACCGTATTTAAGTATATAAAAGTACGGAAATAGTCTCAATAACTACGTGAAATTGGCAGAATTTACCTGAAAAATCATCTAGATTACCACAATTAAAACGAGAACGAAAGAGAATGACTTATAGGTAAACCACTAACAAAGTATTTTCGAAATACAACCTAAAGGGGTGGCAGAGTATGTATAAAAAATTATTCCACCGAAACCGGTGTAGGCCTTTTGTAAATTATAGAACTGAAAATTAAATAAATATTCTAACTAAAATGTTTGTAATACCACTTCTCAATAAATTGTTCATAGAATAAATAGGTACCTTCATGAAGGCTGTAAGCCGGTATCAGTGACTGTAATCCCTCTAATGTACCAACAGATAAAACGTCACGTCGTCATCCCCTTGTTAGAAGTGGTGCAGATGTTTTAACATAGATTAACGCCTAGTAAGTTTATTTTGTTAAGAGTTTTACGATACCACCGTTTATTTTCATACTTTACCATGTTGTAAGTGACACCTGCTTGAGATAGCTGGGTTAAGTATATGGAAATAGTATTTAGTGTTAAGTACCTATCTAGTTAGGTACTTATTGCACATCAACTATTGAATTTTAAAACTAAATATATATTTTATAACTATAATATAATTTAATTTAAAAAAAAATAGATTATATTTATATGGCAATAATACTTTTACTTTTTTAATCTATTTTTTTTTATTTAAGTGAAATTAATTAATTCAAATTACTTACAATGCAACTAAACTAAAATTAATTACTTTGTTTAAAATAATAATTTAGTATTACAACGAATAGGTTAAATAGGTAGTATATGACGTATTCTGAGCGGATTAGTAGATAAACTTAAAGCTCATTAGGTAAAATAATCTGTCTCGAATTAGGCATAATAATTATTATTAGAGTCTTATTAGTCTCTTTTATGAGGCCTGTTATTTTGGTCTTCAGAACTTTATCAATATTTATTACAATACGAGGATATAAGTTAGCTAAATCGCAAAACATATTATTAATAGAAATGAATATATTCTGCGGATGCTTTTAATACTAACAATTTTATAATAGACAGTATTTTAATAAATTCTAAGAAAGTAAAACAATATAGTTACTGGGTAATAACGAAATGCGGAAAAGACTCATTCCCACACAAACTAACCCCACATCTGCGTGCCGTATGCCAAAAATAGTGACCGTGATGACCATTGTTTCATAATAAAAACGGAGATTAGGTTCTAAACGGCAATATCGTAATAAATAATAAAGCGTCTTGGAAATGTTCAGTGCCATAAAACATCTGCGAGGCTTCGGCAGCTGTGGAGGAAAATACGTCACACGTGTGCTCTATCCATAGACTGAGACGTTACCTGTTGCGCTGCACTGATAAGAACCTATTGTTTCTTAATTCGCCGATTTTTCATTTATCAATACGCCTGACCATCTGGTGAACTTAAATAACAGGTTTTATACTTATACTCTTTTAAGTATTATACTAAAATAGGCATTTAGCTTTTAAATGGCGCGCAACAGATGGTCAAAAAACGATTATAGTTTACTTAGTAACAAAAACAGAGCCTAATACCTTAACACGTATTTGTTATTAAAACAAGTATTAGATTAAGGATAGAAAATATACTAAAAATTTCTATTATATTCAATGAATCAATTGAAGAATGAGATTCAAAAATATTCGTGTTTGTAACAGGATTATGAAGAGTTAAGAAAAGTATGTACCTTTTAAATAAAACTATCTTTTCGGATTTTGTCGCGGATTTATTTGTATTTTTGTTTCCCGACGTTTCGAATGCTTTACAGCATCCATGGTCACGGGAGAGACTGAGGTGTTACATGTCTTAAAGATATAGTTGTTACAGACAGCCTACCCACAATTAACAAAATGAAAATTGCACCAATTACATTACAATATTTTAACTTTAAATATTTTTTTTAATTTTTTTTTTTTATTTATTTATTTTTTTTTTTTATTTTTTTTTTATATTGTAATGTAATTGGTGCAATTTTCATTTTGTTAATTGTGGGTAGGCTGTCTGTAACAACTATATCTTTAAGACATGTAACACCTCAGTCTCTCCCGTGACCATGGATGCTGTAAAGCATTCGAAACGTCGGAAAACAAAAATACAAATAAATCCGCGACAAAATCCGAAAAGATAGTTTTATTTAAAATGTCAAATATTCGCGTAAATCTAAGAAAGTATGTACCTACCAATTGACCAAAGTTAAAACGAGTAACCAAAACCAGACTTGGACATAGCAAGAAAAGTTTTTTTAAATAGGTATCTGTCTCAGAGGGATTTAAAATATGAATGAAATCAACAGTTCTTAGTGTGGAATGCCATTGGTTAATTTTTTTATTTATTGTGACTTTAATCAATGAAATTGGTACCTAAACTCATCAAATATGTCAGCAGCAGCAATTTGGTTGGATTTAAAGATTTTTGGCTCTTTCAATTAAAATAATCAGCTTGCTATGTCTGTGGTAACAAAGAGAGACAATTATTTAAAAAAATGAGAGAGATTAGACAATGGCATTTAAACAATGATAAAGTTATCTTATGTGTAT